TACCACCTGGTGGACGGCACGGCTCCTCCGAAAACGGACACGGCAGAGGAGATTACCATGGCAGACGTGGTCCCGCTCAACAGGCGGGTGGACATCCGGCAGGAGATCCTGTCCATGAAAACGGACGATGAGGCGTTGAAGGTCCGGGAGCGCCAGGAGGTCAAGGTCAAAGTGCAGCGGTCCCTGAAGGAGGCGGAGGCTCAGAGCTTCCAGCTCTACCACCCCCAGGTGGACCAGGCGATCCGGAAGAAGGAGGAGCTGCATAAGGCCTTGAGAAAGCACCGACCGGGAACCGACCCCGGAGGAGTCCTCGGCCAGGCGGCGGCACAAGGAGTTGGTCACGGACGAGATGCTGGACAATGAGATGGCTATCCTGGCGCCTCTCCAGGAGGGCATGCAGGCCCTGCCGTCAGAGGAGGTGGCCAATGAGGGAGCCCGGGCCCTCACGAAGGTCAACCTGGAGCGATTCAAGGCCAAGCTGCGAGATCAGTACCTGGAGGGGAAGGGCGTTGACGCCAGCCAGGCACTGGCTGAGGCGATGGGCTCCATCCAGGAGGCTCAGGAGGCGAACAAGCTGGAAGTGTCGGCGTGGCCAGATGATCTCATCGGTGGTTCCATGGGTTCTGCGCCTCTCTGAGCCTCCTGATGTAGGGGACACATACTTCTCCTTGATGTCTCCCACGTTGGGGATGTCCTCGGGGTCATCCAGCTCCAGTGAGGAGGTCACCCCGTGTAAGTTGCGGCAGGTGTGGAACACCCTCAAGTGGTTCTCAAAGACCTTCGGATTGCTGAAGATAGATGAGCTCCATCGCCTCAAGTCCAAGAAGAGCTCATTGGAAGAGGCGCTCACGGACGCGTAAGGCGGTGGTCCCCAGCAAAGAGGTCATTTGGGCTCTGGAGGAGGGGGCCGGCTACGATCGCCTGGGTGCCACCGGCCCCGGCACGCAGGAGGCCCCGGGAAAGAGCAGACACGAGGTGCTGGACGCTTTCATCCTGGGTTTCGCCCGGTTCCAGGTTGGTTGCAGCGCTCGCTTCAATGACCTCCAGCACGTTCACCCCAAGGACCTTATCCACACCAGCAACACGGTGGAGCTGAAGGCCTGGCAGACCAAGACGGTCTCTGCAGCACGAATCAACCGCAACCCTTGATTGCTCCGAAGTACAGCTTCACGGGAATCCCCTGATACACTACCTGGGTGGCCTCGGTAAGGCGGTTGGTATCCGAGGAGGCATTCCGGGACATGGATTACTTGCTCCCGACGGTCTTTGCAGGGCTGATCCCGCGGCCTTCCACACCGGAAAGGGCTCTGAGATGGCTCAAGGATGCTATTCTCCGTCGGGGTGTCACCCCGGGGTTGGTGAAGCCGCTGTCGTGGCACTCGTTCCGGGTGTTCATCCCGGACTGCGCCTTCCAGATGGGGATCCCCCGGGAGCGCCGCATGTACCTTGGCAACTGGCTCACGGAGAGCACGGCAGATGTCTACGTGCGGGAGAAGCGCAACGTGGTTGTGGAGATCTGGGGCCAGGTAGCGCAGAAGGTCCCCAACCTGAACCTCGGGCCAGGCAGGGAACGCAGGGAGGACTTGAATCACCCGGACTGGGCGGACCCGCTCCCGCCGCCAGCAGTGGACATCACGGACGCAGGACCGGAGGGCCGCGAGGACCAAACTGAAAGGGAAGGGGAGGCATCCCCTTCGGTACCCTCAGGGAGCGCGCTCATGGTCAGTGGTGGAACACGGACCCGAGGACACACCAGTGAAGGCTAAGGACCTGTTTCCCGCCACCCCGGACCTCCCCCTTCGGGTGGTGGCGGCGGTCAAACGCACAGGCAACGCCGGCCAGTCCAGAATCCACCTGCTGAATGTCGAAGGCACGGCTGTGGGGTGTGGTTGGCGACCGGCGGCTTCTAAGGTCCAGGAGCTCTCGGTGCTGGACTACATGACGGAGCAGGAGGCCTATGGCAAGTGCGAACGTTGCTTCAAGAGGCATGGCTTCCCGGCGGACTGGGCACTGGAACCTGCGGAGGTTCGCACGCTGCAGGAGACTCGGACTCCTCGGCGGACTCGGGCTCTGAAACGGATGACTCGGTGGACACCCAGTCGGAGACCGAGGTGGTGGCCCTACCGTTGGCAGCCTAGGTGCCCCCGGCCCTGGCGACCAAGGGGATGGGAGGCCCGGAGTGGGGCTCTGTCCTTCGGAAATGGCGCTATCAGTCTGCACACCCGTTCTTCAGTTTTTGAGATTGTGAGTTGGGTGGCCCATGGGGCCCACCCAGCCTTTGTCATCTGACAGGGGAAGATGAGTCCCTGGCACCAACACACTGCTCGGATAAAAGAGTTATCGCGTGCTTGTGTGTGGTGCCGTTTGGTTAGCTTGCATACACTTTGTTAATGTTGAAACGCATGTGGAAACATGAACTGTGTTGCAATGCTTGACCATAATGGCGCATGCCATTTTGGCTCAAGCTTTGCCCTGGGTTCTTTGAACCCAATTTGTGTGAAAAACCCACCCACCCACACCAAGGTCAGAGGTCATGGCGTCCCAGCGGAGTTCAAGGAGGACGTGGCAAAGTTGCACAAGCCACTGAACCTGGTGGGAAGGAGATCCCCTGGGCCACCCAGGCGGCTCTGGGCGCATCGGGATACGTCACGGTGGAAGACCTGGCGGATCGCTGGGACACCCCGGCGGCGGCTAGGGAGAATGGTCCCCGGGACCTGGGATTCCGGGATGGGGAGAACGGGTTCAACGCCCAGACCTCGGCCTTCACGGCGATGCGCCTCCTTCAGGCGGTCCGGGTGGCAGCCAACTTGGTCCGGGGGGGGAACCAAGGCGCACCCGGCGGGCCAGGCGGGCCCGACAAAGGCGCCCTTGGAGGTCCTGTGTGACAGGCGCCAGCTGGAGGATGCTTACGTGGCCACGCATGGGACCCCGAAGCCGAGGTTGGAGTTCCAAGGGAGTGATGGCTACCTCAAGAAGCAGTGGCGCATGATTGCCAAGGGTGAGCTGGGCTACATCCCGGCAAAACACATCGTGAGCGCGCTCCCGGAAGAAGGGGAACGCCCCTCATCCACCCACAAGAAGATCACGGTGGACGGCTGGGACAGGGAGGATGAAGAAGAGGTGAGGAGCCACCCTACATCCCGGCGCCAGCTGGAACGTTTGCACCTAACCTTCAGGACCACGCTCCTGATGTGCACGGCAGCACTGCCACAGTTTGGCAACCTGAAGGTCACCAAGGAGGAGCTGGATGATTGGTATGCCTGGTTCTATGGGGAAGACATCGCCGGCAGGAAGCCTCCCCCGAGCGACACCACGTTGCTGTTTGCAGAGCGCAATGCATGGCGCAAGATCCACGAGATGGTGCACCAGGGCACCACTCTCTCCGATGCCCTCAAGAATATCAGGGGCGACTTCCTCTTCTGGCAACGGGAGGTCTATGAGCACCTCAACAGGGCGCCGGAGAAGGGGAAGAGCAAGGGCAAGGCGCCCAAGGTGTGGCAGACTCAGTGGGAGAAGCCCAAGAAGGGGGGGAAAGGCTCCTGGCCCTCGGGGCCGACCCGGTCCAAGCCGAAGGGCAAGGGCGGCAAGGGGAAGTCCCCCAACACCCCCTCGGTTCCATGGCCGGACCACTGGGCTTTCAAGAATCCCAAAGGGGTGGCGTACTGCAGAGATCATCACCTCCACAACAAGTGTTCGGGATCATGCGGCCGATCCCACAACCCGGTCAGGAAGGATGGGTGGGTGTGCGACGCCCCCCCATCGAAGCATGTGCCACAGGCATGCCCTCACCTTCCCAAGTGACAGGAGGCCACTCAGGGTGCCATAGGCCCCGTAACTTCCCGGTCTCAGTTGGGACCACAGGCCACCAGTGCGAGAGTGCACACAGAGGGGGAGAGCCAACCCCACCAGAGCCACAGCGGAAGGCAGACAGAGCGGGGGAGGCCAGGGCGGCCTCAGACCTTCTCCAGGGTGCCACCGGCCCCGGAAGCCCCTCCACCGAGGAAGAGGAGCGGTCCCAGTCAGGGCACTCCAGAAGGGCGGAAGCATCCCTTTCCCCCGCACCCACTGAGGCAGTGGGAAGACCCCCCAGAGAGACCCAGAGGTGAGGATCCGCCCGGCAAGGGGCGTTCCAAGGGCGGGAAGAACCGCCAGGGCAAGCAGCAAGCCCAGGGACAGATGACGGGAGGGTCAGACAAAGGACACACGGAATCCCTAGGGGGGGGGGCAAGCCCCACCTTCCCATGGATGCAGGACATCCCGGAAAGACTGAGGCTCAGACTGAGGTGGACGCCACGGCCGGTGCCGGAGTCGTCAAAGCCGTCCCTCATCCTGCTGTACGCTGGGAAGGATGATGCGGGGGCCCTGGATGCTTACCTCCATGCCTACAACCCGGCCTTCTCGGAGTACATCAGGCGAAAGGGTGGAGACCTTGGACAGGACATGCTGGGCGAGGAGCCGTACTCTACGATGTGCTCCATGGCCATGGCGGGCAAGGTCGCCTTGGTGGGGGGCGGCCCCAACTGCAGGACGTGGAGCATCCTCACATAAACCGGGTGGCCCGCCGCCGGTGAGGGGCAGAGCAGAGCAGACCCTGTGGGGCTTAGAGGACCTGGAGCCCCGGGTTATGGAGGACACGGACAATGACAGCGTGCGCTCGCCCATTGAATGTAGGCCCGTGTGACCCAGATCGATGAGCACCTCGCTGCGCTCGGGCTCTTGCTGCACTCCATTGGGTCCATCGGGTGCTCCAAGAAGGAGGAGCCCACCCTGCGGGACCGTTAGCTGACCTAGCCCCTTGTAGGCCAGCGAGGTCAGGTACATCTGTCGGAGCATGAGCACTCCACCACTCCCTCATCAAGTTTGACGAGTGCCGCCTGGGCCAGGTGGTTGTGAAGTCCACGACATTGTCAACGGACCTTCCCCTTCACCATTGGCATGATCTGCGTTGCAACCACGGGGCTCACCCCAGGGGGGAAAAGCTCAACTCCAGTGACCTCAGCCGGTACCCGGAGCAGATGATGCAGGGTCTCGCAGCGGCCATCCTTTGCCGAGCGGGACCCGTCTTGGAGGCGCTGAAGCCGGGGGGCACGGCGCCCCACGACCCCCCGACACGGCAGAGGGAACCTTCTCCCAGCACGCCGGGGGACAACAAGCGCCAGTCCCGGAGGCTGAAGGCTGGCCAACAAGCGTTGGCAGGACTAACCTTGGGCTCACTTCCGGTCTCGGCCTCGGACAATCCGGAGGTCCGGACACCGACACAGAGGACTGGCGAGACGGACGAACTTGGGGGGGGAACTCTTTCCCCTGAGCCATGGGCACACCATGGCATGGAGATCTCGGATCGGCCCACCATCCTGCCGATCACGCACGACCCCAATCTCTCCGACAAGGTCATGTACCTCCAGATGGCCTTCAAACAGCGCCCCCTAAGGGACGGAGGAGGAAAGCCCTCATTGGGACGGTTGGCCCCATGGACCCGGCCACTGTCCAAAGCAGCAGCGATGGGGGCCAAGATCTGTGTCCTCAGGGGGGACAAGCTCCAAGAGTCGCTCTCGTTGGGGCCGACCAGCTGACGGCCAACCCTTCTTCCTGGACATCTTGCACAGCGTGGCGCTGAACATTCAGGACCCCGACCACCAGTTTCCCCAGAATCTGGAGCAAGGGGTCCCTGGGGGTCACGGACCCACCCCTGACCTCGCCGGGCATCTGGCCACTCAAGAAGGAGCTGAAAGGGGAGGAGCCGGAGTTCCAGGAACTCCCTCACCCAACGGGCAGGGGTAACTACCCCTCGGCGGATCACTTCAGCGAGCTCATCCGGGGCACATTTCTGGAGGAGGTCTCCATGGGCATGGTGGAGGGCCCCTTCAGTAAGGTGGAGGCAGCATCGCGCTGTGGCTGCGAAATCGAGGACCTTTGTCCCGGCCCCCTAGCGGGCATCGAGGAGGGGGACAAGATCCGCACGATCTACGATGGCTCGGTGGGAGGGGCCAATGACACCATCAGGAACCAGACGGTGGAAAGGACGACGGCTCCGACGGTGCTGGATGGGGTCCAAGCTCTTCATTGGCTACATGCGGCAGCTGCGGAGGGACCCCCCTCTCAGGGTGCCCCTGGCCCCGAGAGGGGGGTCGTCAAACCTCCACCTGGGGGCTGGCTATGGCCGGAGCCGGGCACCAGGTGGGTGCTGCTCAAGGCGGACGTCACCAAGGCCCACCGGAGAGTGAAGGTCCTCAGGAAGGACTGGCGGTGGCCTCACTGGGGGAAGAATGGTGGGTGAACAAGGTAGGCACATATGGCATGGCCAGTGCCCAATCCTACTGGGGACGCCTGGCAGCCCTTCTACTCAGGGTCCTCTACGCACTTTTCCCTCAAGTGGATTGGAACTTCGTCTTTGTCGATGACTTCCTGTGGCTGCTTCGAAGCGAGGGGGCAGTAAACTTGGCGGTGGCGCTGCTGGCAACACTCCTGGCCTTGGGCACCCCGCTTAGCTGGAAGAAGACGCATTTGGCGGAGGTTAACACGTGGCTGGGTTTCGTGGTCCACCCGAACATCCCGCAGGTTCTCATGGCAGCCAACAAACACATCCTGGTTATGGAGGTTTTGCAGATCATGGTGGAAGGGCAGGCGATGCACTCAAAGGACATCGAGAAGGCCCTGGGTCGCATCCAGGCGAAGTCGATGCTCCAGCCACTTTGGGCCTGGAAGATGGCCACCACCACGGTGGGGAAACCCCCCAAGGTGGTCAGGATGCTGGCGTTCATGCTGCGGTTCCTCTTCAATACGCCTTTCGTCCAGTACTCCCCTTACTTGCCGAAGTGGGGTTGCAGCGATGCTAGCGCCTCGGACAAAGGACTGGCATTTGTGGGAGGTTGGTGCTCCAACAAAGTGGAGCCGGAAAAGAAGGAGGTGTACTGGTTCCACGAGCAGATCCACGTGGAGGAGTAATTTTGGGCTTTCAAGAATGGGGATCCCAAGCGGAGGATTGCGGCTCTGGAGATGCTGGGCACGCTCTTCCTCTGTAACATGATCCTCACGCACCAAGGCCCTCTGTCCTCCCGGGTCCGACTCCCGGTGGGCAGTGACAATCAGGGCAACGTCATGGCGATGCTCAACCTTGGATCCAAGAAGACACTGCGATCTGATCCTGCTCCTGATGGAGCTGGTCTTCCTGCTCCACACCCATGGCTGCTCGCTGGCGGCCAACCACGTGCCCCGTGAATTCAATCAATGGGCTGATGAGCTGACGCACCCAGATTTCTCTGGGTTCGACCCTTTGCAAAGGGTCCCCAAGCAGGAACTCTGCGAGGAGTTCGTTTTTCTCCCGCGTCTCCTGAATGGAGATGCATTTGATCTTAGCGTGGGCCCACCCATGCTCCCGTGACCGGAGCCGGTGGGCGACTCACTTCCCCTGGTGGCAGACCCCCCTGTGGCCTGGGTGCCACGGGCCCCGGCTCAGGGGCGGGCGCTATCAGTCTGCACACCCGTTCTTCAGTTTTTGAGATTGTGAGTTGGGTGGCTCATGGGGCCCACCCAGCCTTTGTCATCTGACAGGGGAAGATGAGTCCCTGGCACCAACACACTGCTCGGATAAAAGAGTTATCGCGTGCTTGTGTGTGGTGCCGTTTGGTTAGCTTGCATACACTTTTCGATTTCATCGGAGGCTGGAAGTTAAGGGTGACGAGGATATTTTAGATCGAAGGCCTTTGTTGCGCCAGGAGACAGCACTACAAAAAACGAGTTTGTTGGTGTGCAAGGTGGGGAATAAAGCACAGACATACAGTGGCAGCTTATGCACAGCCCTTTTGTCTGTGAACTTGCTTGGTCTTGCACAGCCACACTCTTAGGCACGTGAACCTTCACTTGCACAAGACCACAGCAGCAGTTGGGGCTGACTTGGGTATACTTTTTTTGGGGATCAGTCGTGGCTGCAATGGACGAAATCTAGGAAGAGGCCCTTGGGATCTTTGCGGAGCTGCCGCAGTTGATGCTGGAGAGGCGCAGGTTCGTTTCGGTTGTGGAGGTATGAGGTTATCTATGATCAGGCAACCCGTAATTGGTGGTTTGAACCCCTGGTGCTATGATATTCCTAGGGCTTCGCACGAGCGAGCGCTGCGCAGGAATATCATCAGCTATGGCGCGGCGATCAGTGCGGCGGAGCGGGGCGAATGGCGGCTGGCTTCGAACTGGCTCGAAGACATCGAGTTGCAGCAGTTGGAAGGCTTGGAGAGCGGGCTGTGCTGGGTTGGCTGGTTGGATCGTGTGGCTTGCAGCCCGAACCCTCAATCTACGTTAAACATAGCGTCCCAAAGCTTTGAGGTGATGTCCCGTGTTCAAGGGTGTTGATGCTCTTGTCGGATTCCTTTTGGCCATGTCGAAAATCACATATTCACCAGCTGATTTGGAGTTTCCCCGTAAGAAGCACTGAAGCGCAAGGGCCAGTCCCCGCTAGAAATAGGTCTGGAGATCCGTCCTTTTGGTCCCGCGGCCAGGCAACTTGGTGACTTGCAACGCCGTCGCGAGCATCTGTGAGAAGCGCGGGGCCTGGCTTCAGGCTTCGCAGCTGCTGGAAAACGCCCAGCGGCGCTTGCAGGTGGGAAGGGTCGGAGCGACGTTTTTCCGTAAAGCTTGGGTTTGGGACGCAATTCCGCGAGTGGCCAAGGGAACCCCTAGTCCTCTTTCAACGCTTCGAAACAAAATGAATGGCTGGACCGCACTCCCAGCACTCCCAGCAGGATATTGTGGGCTGCATATTTGCTTCATGGGCGAGTGGCTGCAAGCCAGCTTCTTGTTGCGGCTTTTGTCAAGAATCTGATATGTGGGCGCGTGCTTTCCCAAATGCGCACCTTGACCCAGGCATGTTCGCTGCGGCATGAAAAATTGCTTCCAGGGTATATATGGTCCACCCCCCTCATCCCCCCCCTCCCCTGTGTGTTTCTGTGGCTTGGAACGTTGGTGTACCCAGCTAATTGCATATTGTATTTTTATTTTTCCCCCCAACACCTGAAAGCTTTGGGGTCTCAGCCCAGATAGGCCCGGGTGGTCCGGGGCGGCCTTGAGGTAAGGTTCCACGACGGTTCCACCAGGGTTCCACCAGGGTTCCACCAGGGTTCCACCAGGGTTCCACCAGATTTCCACGAGGTTCTGCGAGGGCTCCAGGTGGTGCGAAAAAGAGAACCACATGCTGTTGGGGATATCACCTGAGCTTATTATTTTTGGTTTTGCCAGGCAGACGTCATCAGCTTCAGCTCCGGCATCAGCGCCTGCGAGCAGCTCGTGCGCGGGCGAGGGGCGGTCGTTTGCTTTGGGCTCCAACGACCAGCATCTGAACATATCAGTTTCCGGCCTATTTTGTTGGGGTGCAAAAGCTGAGGTAGCCCTCCCCCAAATGTTTAATCCTTGTAGTTGGAGGCAAACGCTAAGTACCTCCCTGCAGATAAGGAGGAGTCGCTTTGAGGATGCGCTTTTTGGGTTCCTAACTTGCAGGGAGTAGGCCATCTCAACCTCAGTCCCTTTTGGAGCCCCTCCCCCCCTCGAACATTTTGAGACTCGCAAAGTTACCTCGAGATCGGTTTGCCTGAAACCGCAAGATGGCTCGGGTAGTTTGGAGGACCTCACTCCTGGGGGCTTCCTCAACAAACGCATCGTAGTTTTGGAATCCACCACGCCGTCCTAGAATTGCTTCTGAATAGGCCTTTTGAATTGTACGAACAGCTTTCTGGAGTGAAACAAGGGAGGGAGTTGTAGTGCTTCCTGTTTTTGAATCTTGAAGCCTGGATTATTAGTTGCCGTTGTTCAGCCCGGTTTGCCAGTTGCCGTTTTTGAGCCTGGATCGCCAGTTACTGTTTTCCCAGCAACATGATTGTTCAGGGCAAGATGTTTGGGAAAAAACAACAGCAACTGGGCTAAGAAAGAAGAGGTAATGTTCTTTGTTCGGCTACACATTTGAACAGGAACCTCAAAGGCGGTCGGACACGAATCCCCACTCAAATTGGATGTCTACCAAAGGGTCCGACCCCTTAACATCCTCCCCCCCGCCCCCCCCCCCGTCCCCCCCCCAATATTTTGCTCGGAGAAATGTCAGAATAGACCCAGGAAGTCCCGGCAGTGGGAGCGTGCGGTGGGCCTGCTGGAACAGCTCCGGGCCGCGCAGGTGCGGGAGAACGCCGCCCGGCAACTGACACCAAATACCGTGGATGGACAAGAACTTGTACCAGTAGGCAGGGCCGTAGGATAAGACCTGGGGCCACTGACCTTCCAGGTAGAGGAGTTACACCAATATTCATAGGGTTTCATTTGTAACTGGTGCAAGTTTTTGTCCATCCATCGTGTGGCTTTGTTCTCTTCGAAGGTACCATTTTGGGGGTTGTTAAATTCTGGTGGACTCACTCAATATCCCCAGAAGAAGCAGGGGGACTCACTCGTTGTCCCGAGTTCTTCAGAGTTGTTTTTCCTTGAGCGTATCCTTTTTCGCGTTCTAAAGGAAATCTACATCTTATGCTCATTTGTCTGTGCCACTCTGGGTACACTGCCTTTTTGAGGGTACTCTTTCTCAGGTTTGTTCAAAGGAACCAACGGAAACGCCACCTGTGGGGGGGGCCATTTGTTGGGGGGAGTGGGGTTCCGTTTGTTGACCTCCATTCTGGGCAGGGACAACCATGCTTGAATGCCACTAGTTGGACATTCAACCTTGAAGTTTTTGGGAAGATTCTTATTGGTCCGCACAGAAGACTACCAAGTGATGCTTTCTGCTGTTTTGTGATCAGAGCCCTCCGCGGAGGGTTTTGCGTGGGCATGTTGGGTTTTCTGAAGCTCGTGACAGGTCGCTGGGAACTTGTCGGGGCCTGAGGTGATTGCCTGCAACGCAGCTGCGAGTGCCTGCGAGAACGCCGGCCTGTGGCAGGAAGACATGGCCTTACTTCAGGCGCTTGGGCACTCCATCAGTCAGAGCCGACTCGCAATGGGGTCACAGATCTTGGCCACTCTTAGGCTGCATTGACTCCCCTTGCGTTCACGTGCGCGTGGAAATGCTCTTTTTGCAATGTACTGTTCGGCAAACTTAAACAGCCAGGTTTCTGTCAGACTGCATTTGGGACACAAAGCGCGTGCAGACTGCCGACTAATGGATCGAGCCATATTTCTAGCAAGGTAAGTACGGCAGCGTTGAGCCACCATTAAACCATCATGGCCTGTTCATGCTTGGTCCGAAGAGGAACGTCACTTTGCATTCCTTAGCATGCTTCTTGACACAGTGATGGTGAGGAACTACATATGAATGCAATTAACCACTCCTCATCACCTCCTGGCATTCAATAGATTTAAGGATCCCCCTCCCTCCGCTCCCTCCATGGCAATGGCTCATTAGTTGTTGTTATTTGGATTGAACCATGCAAAGTTTGCACCAAAAAAAACGATATCAAGGTGCAGCTTCCGTACTTAGAGCTGAAACAGCGCTTCTTAAGCCCAAATTGAAGTCACCCCTTAATTCGACGGGGGCTGTCCATTTTATGCTGCACAGGCAATTCAACAATGTGGCTGAAGTAGGCGTCTGTTCTTCCTATTCCCCTGGCTTGTTTTCAATTCGTGAATCAGGGGAACGTGGCTTCACTGGCAGCTTTTAGCTTCGAGACTTCACATGGGGAGTCAGCCCAAACGCAATATGTAGCCCCCCCCCAAAGAAAAACGTGATTTCACTATGTGACAGACTATGTGGTCATTTAGTTAGCTGTTCGTTTTGAAGCTTCCCCCGACCTGAGGGGCTCTCGCTAGGAGCTGATGGCCAGCCTGCAGCCCTCCGTGGTGAGCTTCTCAACCGTCGCCAGCGCCTGCGAGAAAGGCGGCCAGGGGCGCCCGGATCCCGGGCCCGGGTTAGCGCCGTTTTACGGCGCTCTCTTGGGATGGATCCGACACGTCTCAACTCCCAAAATGGCAGGCATGTCAGGGAGGCACTTGAGGCACTTGTGCGCATTGATGCCTGGCGAACTTCAAGACGACTGTGGACTTGTCTTTGAATGATGATGTTTGGTGCGAATAAGTCACGCCAGCCCTGCAGGCGGTCAGTGGCGTGAAGCTGCCGACTTGCTCACCCAACTTGTGCAGCACACGCTACAGGCAAGGTGAGTCGGAAAGTTGAGACAGGTGGAAGAAAGGGGTTCAAGTCTGAGGGGTCCAAGTCGAGATACTATCTCCCCTTCAGATGTAGAGATGTTATCACCCAGTCAAGGGGAGTTTGGAAACGGCCCAGCATCTGAAAAGTTCAGGGCTTGTTGTCCTTTGAAGCTTCGGAACGGCCCGCACTTTCCGCAAGCACTACCGGCAGTGAGTTGGGAGACAGTTGGTCAACCTGTCGCCTTTCCGTGTTTAACGTGGTGGTTCACGGTTTCATTGAGAACGTTCCTAGAAAGTTGGAAGTCTGGCATTACAGAGCTGCCCCCATATTTGCTTATCCCTAATTTCACATGATACTCCCTTGCAGATGAACGGGACACCCAAAAGAAGAGATGCCTCCAAAAGGAGATGCCTCTAAGAAAGGATGGTGTTTGTGGTTCCATTGAATCTGCTTGGGATCTCAGGCAAACTTAATCGCCTTCAACACGGTGCTGGCGGCATCAAGGCTGGGCCCCTGGGCCTCTTCCTTGCAGCTTTTGGCCCGCGCCTCGTCTCCTCTGGCGTCGCGCACCGTGCCGCATGCCCGAATTGCCCCATGTTTTTGGGGGAACAAGTTTGGTTTTGCCTCGGGCTCATGTATCCCTTCTAACAGTTGACTTGTGAGTCATCTTCAGTTGTTCAGTGAAACCCTTTTTCCCCTTTGGGTGGATTCCCCAACATGCAACGCAAAGGCTTCTCCCGTTTTCTACCAGGGCCGCTGGGCAACTGGGCCGGGCTGAGGACTGGGTGCCTCGGCGAACACCGTGAGCTACGGCGCGGCGGTGGCGGCAGTGGCGGCGGGTGCCTGGGCTGCGGCGCTACGCGTTGTGTCCCAGAGCTTTGACGCTGGGCTGAGCCGGGAGCTGGGGAAGAATGGATTTGTACACAGAACAGGGGACAGGCGCCAAGCCCGCTACTGTGCAGACGACTTGCGAGACAGTCAGCATCGTCAAACAGGACCTCCAGCATCCCTAGCACCACCCAGCACAGCTGCAGGAGCTCGTGGCTGAAATTGGAACCCCAAGAGCACACAATTGGGCCATAAACCCCAACGTCTATCAACCGAAAGGTCGCTTTTATGATGATTGGAAACAACGTTGCGAACATGCCGAATTCGCTCATTGCGGAATGGAGCGAGTGCGGAGAGAGGCTGCGAAGCCATCACTTAATGCAACTGAGAGTTTCTAGCCTGGCCACTGGTGAAACATCGTGCAAGGACAGGCGCCAGCATAACCTGGAGGTCTACAACTCAGCACTATCGGCCTGTGACGGGCCTATCGCCCTTCGGTTGCTGGAAGAAATGCAGGAGTGGAAGGGGACCTCCAAACCATATGCCATATGGTTTCAGGGGTTCTGTGCTGTCAGGTTTCCTTGGGCCGCGGCAAGGCCGACCCAACAGACTCATCAAGGGCATTTCGGTCGGGTTGTTTGGTGTGATGTGTTGCCCCAGTCCCTTGTACAAGTTGTACATGGGCCCCACTCCAAACGACCCATTTGACAAAAAGAACGGGACTCTTGCCTTTTCTGCGGCAAAACAAACCGGTTGCGGGTCGGAGTCTATGATCCAGCAAATGGAGCTCCAGCCTTGCAAGTGACTCTGCATGCTACGTAGCCACCCCATGTCTGATTTTCCAAACGAGCACGAAAAAGGGATTGTGCGTTGCTTCAATTCTTTTCAGAGCCTCTATTCAACACATCAACACTCTTCCGAAGCACATGGCAAGCATTCCACCTTCGACCTATACAACACGAAGGGTCCCTCGGAAAGGCGGGTTCGCAGTCTTCGCGTCCATTGGGGTATGGCGTTTTTGGGGCTTGGTCCCTTGCCCACAAACCCATGTATGAATGAACCAGGGAAGATGGTTCAATCAGATGAGCCGTTGAGTTATGAGTCAAATTCTTGGTCGATGCCATGCTTGATATGAGAAGATGGGGAACCGCGCTTTGATGGGATTTTCAGAAGTTGCTCCAGGTTTGGAACATGAGCCCAAAGGGAAAACCGAAGCCCGATTGAGGAATACAATATACCGAACCTCATGTGACATTTCATTCCTTGAGGGGAAGTCGTCACCCCCTTTGTACCTGAATCTCAAATTCTTGCTCCGCACTGCCAGGACCGATCGGTGCAAGCGGACCTCTTGACCTTGAGCACCTCTTGCTGCACTCTTTTGAGTGAGCCCCAATCCCAGTCATGTCCTGGTCAAATCTCTTGATTGGTGTATTTTCAAGTTGGGAGGAACACAGGGGACTCTCCAAAATTTCCTCAGAAAAGCCAGGGGGCTCTCCAATTGACCCACTGCTATAGAGGGTACGACAAAAAATGAAGGTGGCACATGCTGAAGGATCAGCGCTTAATGGTAGCTGGATAGTTGAAGCCTGCGGTGATGCAGTGTATTGTGGTGCAGTCAGGGTCCTCATTTGCACCAGCCAAGAAATGCTTGGGCACATTCACATTCATGTGGTGCTCCCGTGTTTATGTGTAGAATGTAAATACAGACATACACGCATATATATATATATATTATATATATACATACATACACATGCACAGGTGCCTCACCAAAGCAATGTATGGCAATCCATCCCAATCCATCCAAAGCGGCCGCATACCTCCTCTCCAAACTCAGTGTCAATCCTGGAAGCTCACCAAACCCACCAGACCCACCAAACCCACAAAACCCACCAAACCCACCAAGCCCTCAACCCCCTCAACCCCCTCAAGCCCTTCCAACACCGCAAGCCCCTCAAACCCCTCACACCCTTCAAATCCTTCAAACCCTTCAACTCTCAAGCCCCTCAAGCCCCTCCCTCATTCAAGTGCCCCAACTCCCACAAACCCATCAACCCCCTCAACCAAAGCCAAACCACCACAACACCAAACCTCACCTTGGCCGTGCTCAGACACCGCAGTGGCTGCCGGGGCCATCCAGCTGCTGCCGCGACTCCGCGCCCGGTGTTTGGACGAGCTGCGGGGCAAAACATTCCTTGTGCGTGGAACGGGGCAGCCACGTGGGTTCCCGTTTTTCCACTGGCGGTGGTGAGTTGGGGAGTTGCTGGGCATCGAAACGTTCACCAACGCGCCGCGCCGTGGCGACGTTTCGAGGCTCTCAATCAAGCTGTAGAAGTCATGAGCTTCATGAACACAACGCGACACGACTTGAGCATGGCGAGTAGTTTGGCGACTTTGTATTCGTTCCCCATTTTGACAGCTTAGAGAGGCCTACAGTCTCCAGCTCAGTGGCTTAGCCAGCATGGCCCCATACGCAATGTGCTCTCATGTGGTCGGCGGCTCTTCAGGAGCTGAGCCGCTGAGACTGAACTGGTGCAGCTGCCCAACTGGCTTCCGTGGAAAAGCAAGCCTGTGTGTTCGTGAATTCAAATTGGAACAACTAGGTCTGAAGGAAATCCCCGAAAGGATCGGTTTGGGGCGAAGGAGGTGGTCCAAAAGGCTCACGGAACTTGCACATCCTGTAGGTGTGACCAGAGCTGCCGGCACCGCGGATGTGGTCGACTGCACCAAAGCGGGGGACCCGTGGGGCTGGAGCTTGAGCTTGACTACTGTCAGTGGCTTGATGTCAGAGATGGTTGAACATAGGAGCAACTGACAAAAATTATGTCGTCTATTGTTGGTTTTAGCAACCAGGGGGACCCAATTTTCGCGTGTGCTCCTGGGAAGCAATGAAGTGTGTCCGGGCTCATATCCGCTGTTGAGAGAGAATTGGACTCAACTGACGGCCCAGAACACAAATCAGTCTACCCAACTTCTCGTTCCTCAGCTCTAGCATGCCCGGCAGGGTGTGGCAAAATTGGCGAAATCAAGCCGACCTTGGTTCTCATCAAAGGAAAAACAGAATGAGGTCAAACAACAATAGTGGCTTGAACATGTTTAGACAGGGTTGGCCCGCACCCCATCCGTGCATGGCGTTCCGATATACCGAAATGATGGCCAAAGCATATTCGGATAGACAGTTGCGTGGTGTTTGCTTCCGCTTCTTTTTTTGGGCCTCGTTTCCACCCCGGTGACAGGGTCGAATAGGAGCAACAGGGTTGGGCGCAACCCCTTGTTTAGCCATGTTTAGTTGAGCCATTATTAGTAAGACCTTTCCTTGTGGTTTTCTTTAAAGCGGACCAGAGGTCGGTTGTTTCAACAGATTTTGCCCAACCCTCGGAAGCCTGCCATCTGAGCTAGAGGCTGTGGCTGCGTGCGACTGGCAAAGGGCGCAGAGCCTGTTTCGCCGCACAGCACACTGGCGCCTGCAGAAGGATGCGGCGCCTGGGGCGCAGATGCCGGGCTTTTTGAAGAGGGATGCAAATATATTCAGTTGATTGCAGTCGTGCACCTTCTTTTAAAACCAAAGAAGCGCCGCAAAGACCATGGCGCGCTGGTGCTTTAGCTAAGTGGGGCGGAGGCATCAAGCCATCAGTTTCAGGTGGGCACTGCACCAGGGTTTTTCCGACCACCAAATTTGTGAGCACCCGCGGGTTCGCATCAAAGTCCTACCTGTCCATCCTCGACTTTGTTTTTGCCAGGTTTTTTTCATGTTGGGGAACCGTTTAATCAGCTCAGGCTGGTGTAGCCATGTTTTTTTTGGTTAATGTTTTCGCAAGCCGCAGGTGCTGTTCGGTGCCCTGGCTGCGCAACTTCGGCCCAGCTGGCGAACGTGCCTGGCGCTGGCGGAGGTCCGATCGGCGGGTGTGGCGAATGGATCCGCCTGGCTGATGGTGTCCGGCTTTCTCTTAGATTTTAAGGATCCCCCCTGAAAATGACAACTTATCAGCCAAGGGATTGATGAGCCTGGGTTGCAAATAGCTTCATGGCATGCCAAAAGTCACGCGACTGTCATCCAGTGAACGCGAGCCAATGGCCAGCATTCACACTTGTTTCACACAGAAGCTGTTGGGACCCCACGCACACAAAAACCAGGGTCCCGGGCCCAGTTTCCCCATGTCCTCTTGGGGAAACCGCCGCAATTTTGTCCATCGCTCGTGCGTGAGCCCAGGAGGCCCCGCCCAGTCCGGTGCTGCGGAACTGCGCGGTGAGCGCTTGTGCCTGGCACTGGGCGCTACACCTGAGCAAGGCACCCGACCACTCCGGGCCGCGCTGCGTGACTGCGGCAGGTTTTGTTGCAAAATGGGGGGGGGAAAGTGAGTTAGCTTGGCACATTCCAGCAAACATGCAGCTCGAAGGCTTTGCTTACACTGAGGCGTCGAACAAGTTGTTAGACTTGTCTGCTGTGTTTTGCAACTCTTTGTTGCGGGCGCTGGAATACCCTTTGAGGTGAAAGGTTCAAAAGAGAAGCATGTCATGCTCCTACCATTTTACTTCGACTGACCTCCTACCCTTGAACCAGAAACAAGGGTGGGTTCCAGCAGGCTGTCTTCTGGTTCGGCTCACGCCAGACTCTGCCAGGCCATCGCTGTTGGCGGACCGCCGAATGCCGCCTGGCGATCAGGTCTGGCCTTGGTCAAAGGTTCGATTTTGTTTGTCTAAGAGTAGAAGTATACCTTTTGATTGCTTGGTTACATTTGGTTACCAACCGACTTCACAAAGAGTATCTACCCCTTTCAGGGAGACAGGACTATGAATAAACACAAGCCTTGTTGAGGCTACTTCCTCAAGGGGTAAGCAAGAGGTGTGGCACCGGGTTGGGAACAAACTGCAGGCAGATTTCGATCGCTGTCCAAACGACTCGGCAAGACTTGCGGCCGGGTGGCAAGTAAGGAGACTTCTTTGTGAAGCCTTTCGGTAGCAGGTATTTGGGGCAAGACACAGGTGCTTCAATCCACAGGTTCGGTCAAGACATCCTGTGGTCTATGGTCCGCATGAGGGGACTCACTAGTTTCCCACAAAAGACAAGGGCACTCACAAGTGTTCGCATGTTGTCTACGGGCTTGCATATTGTTTCCATCCAAATCCGGCCAGCGAGTGCGGGCCACAGGCTACGTCATGTGATGGTGGCAAGTTCGAAGCAAGATGCTGCACCACAGTTTGAAAGGCTAATGTGGATTGCCCGATGATCCGCGATCTATATCTTTAGTTGGCAGTGGTGGTCTTACAATCACAAGCTGGCGGTCTCCAGGAAGTCAGGTAGTTTGGATATTCCAAGTCCTTTCACTGCTGCGAATCTGTTTGCAGAGGTGATCACATATAGCGCCGCCATCAGTGCATGCGACACAGCTGGGGAATGGCAACCAGCAGCTGTTTTGCTGCTGGGCAGCTTTGGATGTTTTGAACCGTTGAGCTGCTTTTGGCTTTCGAGCATACGTCATTTGAACGCCCTCTGCAGTTGATCCGCTCCGCGAGGTTCATACGCTTGGGTGAGGCACTTCTACGGCCGATGCTTGTCTCAAGGCTAGAGCTGGCTGCTGGGGGTTCCTTTGGTTGCCTAGCATACTTAGCCAATCAATCACCGAGCAATGGATTGCGGGGGGGGGGGGGCTAGAACTTGGTAAGGTTCTTTTGGGGATTTTCCGATCAACTCCCTCCAAAAGGGGTGACCGGATTCTTTTTTTCGGACAGCCCCAAATCATACGTTCAATGTTCAAGTCGTTGGAGCTGCGAGGACTGGCATAACTTTGAATGCTGGAATTTCCGCAGCAGCGCACTGCGGCTGGCAAGACTCCCTGAAGCTCTTGCAGCGTGCGGAGGCCTCCAACTCGCCGCGGGTTTGACTGCTTGACCTTCAGTTTTTTTGTTTCAGCGCACCAGGTTCGCTGATGTCGTCGCCTTGGGTTCATGGGACCTCTCTTGAAATTATATCGCATATCGCATTTGGGGGTTGCAAACGCTGAGAGCTTGCAGCAACTCTCACGTTTGTAGGACTTAGGGTTCAAATCTGTGATAGGAACCCCCCCCCCCCCCTTGGCCTGAAGAATTGCGGGGAGGCCTTCCAGTGGTATCACGGGCAGTTCCCACAACCCCGGCAACTATCGAGGTTTGCCGCCACAGCCGGGGATCACATGCCAGCCCGCGTTTCTCCAAAATGGACCAGGGATTGTTTGATATCCTTAGGAACGCATCTCAAAAGGGGTGGTTCGCAGATTTTGAGACACACCCATTTTTGATCAACGCAGGTCCAGGGACTGGTGGATCTGGTCGGGTACAATGCCAGCATCAGTGCCTGCGAGAAGAACCAGGCACGCACACGCACTCATGGGATGGATGGCTTGCAGGGCGGGGGCAATAGGGGAAGCACCCGGAGTGAGTGTTCCCTTTCAATCCCTTTAAGAAACCACCCAAAACAGGCTACCCTCAAATTAGAGAAGATGTTGATTTGAACTATGAGCTGGGCGTGCGAGTATGCGCATCAGATGTTTGCTGGGTTTGAATCGGTTTAGGGAGCAGCCCCCTTCGAGAGCCGTGATGTCGTTTCTAGCGCGCGAAGGCACGCCAGTCAGACGCTCCATGGTCCATGGGGGTTGTCAACAACCACAATCTCCTTTGGGACAGGTTTCGGTGTTACTTTGCTTTACCTTGAGGGGGCCTAGTGGGGCCCACCCTTTGATCTGTCGTAGATGTTGCTTTGTTTCCTCCCGGAATTTGGGAGTCTAGCTTCCGTATTGCCCCCTGACAGGAGTGGCGGTATGCTCTCGCTTTGCTCGCCCGCGTGCAGGAGCCAAGAGGATGCCAAAGCTAGGCAAGCTTCCCCCCCTTAAAATCATTTCGGTTTCGGGCCGCAGCAAGGTCGCCTTAAACTGGCCATTTCGTTGCTTCGGTCACTTGTTCTGATTGCAATTGAACCACCGGGGCAGGTATTGGATTCACTCGGATTTGTGAGCCATGCACGTCCCAGGCTGCATGAAAAATGCAAGTTCTCAGCTGGCCTCAGCTGTCCAGGAAGCAAGGCTCGCCGCGAATTTGATCACCTGCAACTCCTGCATCAGCGCTTGCGAGAAGTGCCACTTGGCTGCAGCGGAGCGGCACTGCCCCAAAGCCTCTCGCTTGGAAAGTCACCATTGCGGGGTGCGGATGCTTGAAAACGGTCCGCGCTGCGGGTGCGGACTTGGCCTGGTGGGGATTGACCTTGATGCTGTGGCCGGATGCAGCCGCACCCTGAGTGACTGCCAGTGCTACCTCAACTGACTGAGCTGCCATGCATCATGCGTTCCAGGCAGCCAATGGGAGCGTGCAATGCTTCTTCTGCATGAGCTGCCAAATCCAGATGTCATTAGTTTCAATGCGGCGATCAGCGCCTCTGGCAACCGCGGCCTTTGGCAACTCGGTCTTGATCATGAGACAGAGTTGCTTGAAGCCTTTAGCATGTGACCAAACCTCAAGGTAGAAGGTGGAGAGCAGGGGTTTCCCTTGTTCCCCTTTCACCAGAACCCACATTTCTTCTCTTGTGCCGATTGGAGCAATCCTGGTGTGTGCTGCTGTTTTGGCTGGATTGGCTCGTGGTTGATTCGACCTATGCTTTGAAATGCGGAATACCATCAAAGCTGGTTGGTGGACATTAAAACGCCGTGTAAATGATGTCCACCAAAGGGTCCCTGGTCAAGCTGCATATCCTCCGTGCCCGGCTTAGGCAACACGCGCTGCACCTCCTGGCCCTCTTGGCGCAGCGGCATCTGTGGCCAGATGTGGTCACCTACAACGCCGCCATCAGCAGCTGCGAGAGGCGCGGGCGGTGACGTTTGCACAGGGCGAGCCAAGACTCTGGCGAGCAAGCACTAGAAGTGTTTGGTTCCTGTGCCCTGCATGGATGCGTTTAGACATGAACCATATTCCCTGTCCTTGGCATTGCGTTGGTAACTGCACGGTTCGGTGCTCGATCCAGTGATCCTGGTTTTCTCTAGGAGTGGACAATGGCCTTTAGCCCTGCTGCTGTTGGAAGACGCCGAGGAAGCCGGAGAAAGCAGCGTGCCTCGGCCTGTCAGGTTTGTTACCATTGCGTGGCTTGACGTGTTGAGAGTGCTTGCGGGTCGGGAGACCGAAGGATCCACGTGCCGCAACGCGCGCAATGTTAGATGTATTGGCCTGCCCCGACCCCGCAGAACGGCTCGCCTCTCAGAACCCTTCTAAGAGCCAATCTAACGTCCAAGGAGCCTTTCCGTCAAGTCGCAAAGTGCTGAGGGCCTTAGAGCAGCTGCCCTCAAATAAGATATCCCAAGCTTCTTGCACTGGCAAGCATGCATTCCCACAAAACTGGCATTTGCAGATGAACATCTCCTTTAGGTCACAGTATCGGCTGGTTCCATGTGAGTTTCAGATGTTTTTTTCCTGTTTTCCAGGTGATTTCGTACAACGCGACCATCAGTGCCTGCGAAAGCGGTGGGCAGTGGCAACATGCCACGCTGCTTCTTCGGGGCCTTGAGGACGGGCTCCGTTTCGCCCGAGCTGGTTTCGGCTTTGGGGCACGTGGCTTTGTCTGATTTGGCCCGCTTCCCTCTTTGGGGTTGCTATTTTTAAAACGGGAACTCAAAAGTTGAAATCGCCGCATCTCTTTTCTTGCAGGAGGGAGGGGGCTGCCATCTTGAGACAAATCTATATTGTTGCCTGACCAGCAGCCAAACCCCTTGCATGCAGGCACCAGTCTCAACAAAGGCTATGTCTATGTTATGTTTTTGCTCCTGTTGGGAAATTGCTGCAGGGATGCTAACCACCTTTTTGGGCGCCCCCAGGAGCGCCGCTGGGTGGATCTAGTGAGCTACTGCACTTCAGTGGCTCGTCAGAAGTGGAGGGTTTGCTTGCACGGGCTCGGGCTTGGAAGCTGTGTTTCGTGGCTCGAGGAAACGGCATGGGGTCAAGCAGCTTGCTGAGATGGTGCCAGGTGAGCGCTTGTGGCAAAGCCCAGCAGTGGCAGCAGGCCGTTTCCTGCCTGCAGCGCCTGAAGACTCGAGGCGGGGCTGCAGAAATCGCTCGACATGCGGTTGCTTGCCACATCAAACGAATATCAACATATCAACAGTATTTACATTCGGAGGGGTATTTATTTTAGGATTTTTTTTCGTTTTTTTTTTGGATTTTTTTTCGCTTTTGGCTTCTTGGCTTCTTGGCTTCTTGGCTTCTTGGCTTCTTGGCTTCTTGGCTTCTTGGCTTCTTGGCTTCTTGGCTTCTCGGCTTCTTGGCTTCTTGGCTTTTCGGCTTCTTGGCTTCTCGGCTTCTCGGCTTCTCGGCTTCTGGGCTTCTTGGCTTCTTGGCTTCTTGGCTTCTTGGCTTGGCTTTTCGGCTTCTTGGCTTTTTCTGGGCATCCTTTGCATTCCCAGTTCCTCTTCGGCAGGTGGCGTTTTTCCGACATCATGGGGGGGGCTGCCGCCCCCCCCAACCCCCCCGCTACGTTTTAGATTTTCTGCAGAGATTTAATTAGTTGCACCCCCCCCCAACCCCCCCGCTACGTTTTAGATTTTCTACAGAGATTTAATTAATTGCACCCCTAATTGAATCATCAATTCTTCCAACCCCCCCGCTACTTTTTAGACTTTTTGCAGAGATTTAATTGCACCCCTGTTCGAATCATCACTACCCCGCTCTGTTTTTCTTAATGGTTTTTTTGTATTTTTTTTGCTGGGATTGAAATGCCCTCCTGTTTGAAGCATCATTGTTTTGACCCCGTCAACCCGCCAGCTACATTTTTGGATTTTGTTACCCACGATTTGTTGGTGATGCTAGGGATGTTGGTCGGACATGCGGGGGATGTTGAAAACGATGCTGGGGATGTTGACGAGCTAGTGTAAAATGCGTCAATTTCGCGAGAACATGCTGTAAAATACGACATTTTGCTGGCCCGGACGAAAAACGAAAAAAAATCCCAAAACAAAACGAAAAAAAATCCCAAAATAAATCCGCACCCTTTACATTCTGCCCCTGCCGACTCCGGGACCCTGATCATGTGAACATCCCACATTCCATAGGTCATGAATCGCTTGCCAGAAAAACGCCTCGGCAAACGTTTTCAATTGTTGTCCAGCTCCTAGGCAAGCGGAGTTTGAGCCCACCATCTTCCATCCGCGAACAGCATGCCAATACTACAAGTGGACAAACATAAACTCATTGACATGTGCTGACCTGTTGTTTGGCACTTGGTACTTGGTTGAGGGGATGTACCTCTTTCCCCAACAACCAAGAAAGTGATACGGGCATGTTGATGGTCACAGAATCGTTTCCTCGTTTTCAACAAAACGCATACGCCGATAGCGAGGTGCTTCCAGTTCGGCCCAGGACGGGCTTCGCACATCCCCAACCCTCAATCCCCCCAACCCATCCCGACCAGGGTTGGGCAATTTTGTGTGAACAAGCCACCCCTAGTCCCCTTGAAAGTGACAGGGGGGGGGTTGCCCCTCTCCCGGTAGAAGCTTTAACGCAATGTTTTCATCATCGCCCCCATCCCCACCCCTGCCAACCCCCTTCCCCGTGCGAGAGGCCTCCGCCTCGGCCTCCGCGGCCTCGCGGTTGCTGCGCCCTGGCGCCAGAGCTGCGGGCTGTTGCACACCGCCCAGGCGAGCGGGCGCCGGAAGTCCCGGGTAGCGTCTCACAATGGCCCATTCGGATTTGCAGGGGAAAATTGCCCTTTCTGATTTGAACGGAAAACCAAAGGAAGACATATAGGTGGTTGATGTGGTACTTGTCTCATGTTTGGAGCTCCTCTATTTGGTACACAGGCAATTAGGTGGGGATTGATTTGTCCACCATGTGCATTTGGGAGAGTGCCCCCCCATTGAATTTCATAGCCAATGCCAATTGCGCCCGCAAAGCTTGTTCAGCTAAATTATTGCACACATTATTCTCTTATGATGATTCCTGAATTTGGTTTTAACGTCCACGATCCCTTTCTCATAATTTTGGCCCTTGCACCCTTGGTGTTGAGGTCCCTAGTTTTCCCTTGAAGGGAGCTTCTGTCAGGTTGCATGTAAGCGCGAGAATTCGAGCAGAGTGTATAAAAGTCGTAAAGTTTGCTTTGTTCTCAAGCTGGCAGTTATTTAGTTGCGAGTTTCAAGTATGCTGGATCCAACTCTTTGTACCCTCAGCCTTGACATTGCCGGATGTATTCCTTGAAGTTCTGGATGTGGTGCTTCACAGAACTTAGCAACCAAGCACAAGAGTCGAACGTCTATGCAGATCCTTCCAAAGCTTTGCTTTCGCCAGTCGTAGAAATGCTGCAAGCCGGGAATCCTTCACGTTTCGCGCACTTGAACACCCTCACGTTGCGCATATTTGCAAGAGGAATCCGGAAGTCGCCATTGCGAGCGCTGAAGTCATCACAAGTCAGATCTGATCCTAGGTTTGCCCTTGCCAGGCTTCAAAGTTAAGCCCGGACACGGCCATGTACGTTGAAGCCACGACATCCTGTGAGCAAGGCGCTGGGGCAAGGGGAAGAGGCTGACCTTAGTGGGCATCAGGTCATACATTCCTGCGATATTAAGCTTCCAGGACGAGTTTACGTGTGTGTGTGTGTGTGTGTGTGTGTGTGTGTGTGTGTGTGTGTGTGTGTGTGTGTGTGTGTGTGTATGTGTTTCCAGTTGCTTGTGTTGTACTCGAGAGGCAGGTGAGTTTAGGGCAGGGGGTCAAGTCGTCTTTATTCCCGTGATCTTGGGGCATGCATGTTGTCTCCTGAGATCTTTACCCATTTCATCCAAAGGTGGAGCGCATGTGTGTGTGTGTGTTGCGATTCTATGCGGGTTCTCCTTTTCTTGCTGGATTTCTATTTTCTGAAGCATGCACAGCACTGCAATTCCATGAAGCTGAGCGCCGAAGGGACAACATTGAGACTTGCAATTCCATTTGGGAGACCCAACATGAGATCGAGATGAATGCGTTGAAGTTAAGCGCTTCCTGTACGACATGGAGTCTCAAGTCTCAACTCGCGTATGATGCACGTGACATACATCTGAAGTAGTCAGGTTGCTCGACGGCTTGCCAGATCCGAAGGCAAATTAGACAGCGATATGCCCTTGAGCACCCCACAAAATACGAAACTCCAAAAAGCGGAGGGGGTCTGTTCAAAATAGGCTCTCAATACAGAAAGGTCAGCACAATGGTATGTAGCCCACACGTGCAGCCGGACCAGGAGGCCTGGTGGTGTTGCCGCATCTGCTGGAGCTGACGCAGCAGCAGGCAATAGAAGCGGTGGCAAAAGGCCGCCCCAGTCAAGTCGCAGCCAGGTTATTTCGGCCAATAACGAGCTCACCCATGTGGGGGGAAACAATCTTATGGTGAAGGTGCCACTGGAATTATAGTCACTTGTCCAGAATGTTCTTTCGGCACCTTTCCGTGTCGCCATTTGGCACTGAGGCATAGCTTAGCAGGGAGGGCCCTTCTCAAGCATCCATTGCCTGCCGAAGGAATGGCTCAAGTCTTTCCTCTCTCAGCAACCATCCAACTCTCTTGGTGCATGTTGCCTAGCACGCCCCCATTATATTTGGCATTGAGTGGCGTTAGCAGAGCGATCTTCTGAAGGCATTGCGTGGTCAGCATTTGTCAGGGTCCCTCAAAAGATGAATGGCCAGTCACAAGATCACCTTGTCCAGATGATCCCCTTGTCCAGATGATCCCCTTGCGAAGCAGATGGCTTTCCGGGTGCATCTTGGCGGAAGCCAGTTTATCTTAACAACCATGCGTGAAGAAAATATTGTGTCCAGGTGAACTTGTTTTCTGACTTGAGCCAGCGCGCTGCGGCCATGATGGATACCGCATCGATGCTACCTGGGACGGCCCCATGTCTGCAGAGTATCGGCAGCATTGCGTGCGACGCCAATCTACATCAATCTGTCAACAGGATGGACCTTTGCTCAAGCACTCAAAGAGAAGCGCCATTCCTTGGCACTGGCACACAATCATATGGCCTTGGAATGACTCGTTGGTCAACCCCTTTCAGGTTCCGAGATAGAGCCTGTTCCACGGCTAGGTATGCGCGGATGGCAGGAGGCGCTGCATTTCCTCTCGGAGCTGCAGCTATGTCGGCTGGAAGCGCAGCTTTGGCTCCATGAAGTTGTCTTGAGCAATGAGCCACAATCATCTACGTACAGATATCCGCCCAACCGAGTCTTCACATGGAACTGGGTAGGCCTTTGTAGCAGCAAAGGTTGATGATGACTCAAATTCCATCTCTAGACCAGCAGGTTCTACTTTTTGGTAGTTTATGGTCCCAATTGGCGGGGAATTGCCAAAGAACCTGGACTCTCTCCCATGTACAGAAGGGACAGTAAATTTTGACCGGGCTCACATGTTTAGAGCGCAAAACGTGGGGCAACTTTTAAGTCAGCATCCTTTGGCTGTGATGTTTTGGGGGGAAGCATTGGGAACTCTGTGAAAGCACAAATGAGTTGGGGGTGTCCCGTTGCGTGGTCCAGCCTGACACCGCCACCTGCCTGTGGTCTATTGCCCAAGACCTCCAGTGGCGCGTTTCTTTTTTTTCGCCTTTGAAAAGAAGGTTTCGATTTCTTGGTAGTTGCCAACCAAAAGGATGCCACAGGTTCTTTCTCATGGAATTCCACTGGAGGTTTGGGTGGTCCCTGGTGCAAAAAAGCCGAACTGAGCCGCTGGTCGGGGGGCGGGGGGGATTGTTGCAGGTGTCCCTTTGACAAACACGCAATCGCAGACGCACATGCACAAGGCTCCGCACGCACCCGTGCGCTCCCGTGCGTGCGCACAGATGCAGGCACGCACGCAGGCAGGCACGCAGGCGGGCAGGCGGGCAGGCTTGCAGGCGGGCGCGTGTGCGCGTGTGCGTGCGCGTTCGCGTGCGCGTGTGCGTGCTTGCGTGCGTGCGCGCTGCGCACGCACAACACCCACACGCACACACACACACAGACACAAATTCACCATCCCTAGGTATTTACGTCTACCGTTGGACATCCCAAGGTGGCACCCCTCTTTTATCCGAGGGATAAAAAGTTTCAAGGCTGGACAAGCTCCAAGTTTGGAGCAAAAGCCATCCAAGGTTGAGCAACAACCCTACCATCCTACACATAAGGAGCCTTCAGAGCTGCACCTCTACCATGGGCAGCTGCCAGAAGCAGAGCCGCTGGCCATACGCGCTGCTGCTGCTGCGGGCGTGGTCAAAAGCGGACCTGGACGCGGTGGCCTACAGCGCTTCGGCGAGTCTTCCGTGGAAGAGGGACATGGGTCCCCAGACCTGTGGGCTATTTGAGCAGGAGGCAACAAACACCCTTGTGCCAGTTGTTCTTTCAGCCGGGAAGATTATTGTAAATTGTGACTTTTATTGGGAAACCGAGAGGAATAACAGACAACGCCTGCGGGCAAGCATTCTGTAGATATACCTGAGAATATCTAAGGTTTCCACCACGAGCGGTTGTAAAGAAAACCCTTGTATTGATGCCCCTTTTCCTCTCATTTCTTTTGGAGGGAGTTCCCTTACAAATCAAATACCGACAAGGGTGCCCTTTTTCCATGGCGACTGGAAGTCGGGCTGGTCCGGTTGACGGATGTAGACCCTGAAGATTTACGGGGCTCGTTTCAACGTTGACATATCCTTCTCATTGAAACTGGCGGTAGTGAATGTGAGGATTGAATGATGATGGCACCGCATGTTGGTCACTTCGCCTGCAAATGTCGGAAGATGTGCACCTTGCAGACGGAGTATCCACCAGGCGAGTCGGGTTAGTGGACATACCTCCCCAGGTCAGCGGTCAAACCATCCCCTTGCAGGCGGCACCAAAGGGCCCACAAATGTTTCGATAGGGCCATGTTTCGACCGAGGCACGGGCGTTGCCTCGGGCGGCCGCTGGCGCAATGCTCTTCAGATTCTGGAGTACAAGCGCCAGAGCCAGGCGAGGATCCTAAGGTAGGACGCGATGTCTGTGCTCGCATGTGAGCAGCTGACAACATTCTCGGTGCTCGGTAGTCAAATGTAGGTTTGGGGAGAACATAGGGGGACAACCCAAGTCTTACACAAAAAGTCAGGGAGACGACCCAGCTTTCCCATGTCGTTTTGGGGAACAAAACATGTTGGTCGTGGGTAATTACGTTCATTTGAGTGAACATGATGATCAAACAATCGCTCTGCCACGTTTGATTGCTGCCTTGGGTCTCAACTAGCCCAACATTGCTTTTTCCCCCCGGCTGGGTGGGCCAGTCGGCAATTTGTCGTGCAAAACCCTATCTAGCTCCAGTTCGCTCCCAGTCCGCTCGGTGTGTCTGAGACGGGGGAAGTCATGGTCTACAACAGCGCCATCAGCGCCTGCGAGAAGAAGGGCAAGTGGACGGCAGCGCTGGCCCTGCTTCAGAAGCTGCAAGATGAGGAGATGGGTGTGTCCCGACATGGAAGTGTTGTTCGTTTTGGTTCAACACGACCCACAAAGGGTCACCCTCAAATGACACACACTGTCGTCCGGAGAACCGTTCGGGCATCCGCGAGCGGGTCGGTGGTGGATGAAGGCGCTTTGTTGAAAAAGACGGTCCTCTCTTGCCGAAATCAGTATCCAAACAAGAAGCGTACACACAGCGAGAAACAACCAGGTCAAAAGGACATTAGATCACTGCAGGGACACAATCCAGCAGCCCGGATTACATCACGCTTCTCATCAGGCGTCTTCGTTGGCCTAAATCCTGATGAGAACCCCCCTGCTAAATGAACAAGACAAAGCACAACTGCACACACAGATCAGCTGGGGGATTCTTGTCATTTTTCCAGCTCTAACTTGGTTTTTGTTCTTCATGTCATCCTCTGATACAGGTGGTCATGTCTTCGCGTAGACGCGCTGTCTACATTCCAGGTCGCTTGCCTGCAACTTCTCAACCCAATTGGAATGTCCGGAGGCTGTGTCTCAGTTGGCAATGGGACATTTCTGTTTGTTAGGATCTAACGATTCACCCTGGACTACATCCGGTGGGAAGTTGCTCATTTGGCTGTGGCTCAACAAACCGGTACCAAACGGGAACCCTGGTAAGTGGAATCATGGACCAAAACCTGTGTAACCCTGCTTGTTTAATTTTGAGCCACACCCATTTGGTGGGACCGAGCCCCAATTTCCGCATGTCCTTAAAACGAATCATTTTGTCCGGGGTTCACATAGGAGCGCCCGGACGTCATCTCCCACAATGCGGCCCTCAGCGCCGTGGGGCGTTCCGGCCTCTGGCGCAAAGCGGCGCTGCACTTGGCTGGGCTCTCGCTGCAGGCGCTGCAGGGCGTGGCTTTTGGAGATCCGAGATCTCCGTTGATTTTGTGGTCGGGAGGGAGAAAGACTCGTTCTTCTGGCAATGTTCCTCCCTTTGAGACTTATTTAATTGGTCCAGGCACCTTCGCCCTTCTGGCAGCTAGATTAGTAGGAGGGAGTGTGTGTTTGTTTATTATTTGTTTACTGTTTTTTTTTGGGGGGGTTCCCTTTGCCGGGAAAGCCAGAGTTCTTTTGGAAGGTTGAGCCCGGATTTAGGTAGAACCTGCCGCATCAATTCCTCAGGAGGGTACCCCCCGCTATTGCTCAACCGCTGGTTTTTCCCCTGGGTTCCCATGCCAAAAAGAATTCAAAGGGCCCCGGACTTTGCGCATGCAGTATACTTGGCCATCCAAAGAGGCACTTGCTGTTGGGAGGCCTCCAAGGAGAAATTACTGGAATGAAGGTTTCCATTTGCGCACAGAATTCAGATCTGCCACGGGCAACAGTTACAGGCTCTTTTACTTGTTGACCCCCTTTACGACACCAATTCAAGAGTTCGTGTCATGCATAGCCATTACCCAGAAGTTCTGACAGTGGCGCATGTCATGCTTCAAAGATGCCATCCCGGAGGCAGACATCATTACCTTTGATGCGGCAATGACTGCTTGTGAAAAAGGCGGGGCCGGCAACGGAAGGCAGTCGTGGAACCTTTGGAGTCCATATCAACCTGTTGGGATGCGAAAGGCTCTTCCTTTGTCACGGCAATGATAGAGACTTGATCTCGGGTGCCTTTCCATACAGCTGCGTCATATCGACAATTTCTGAGGGTCCATGTGCAAGGCAGAACCTGGCCCCTTAGACATGCGCTCTTGGAGGTTTGGCAGGGCACATTCGGCATGGACAACACAATTCACGGGCATGTGCAAGACCGCGCCATTTGCACCTTCAACACCTCTACAGCGTGGACGCATTTTCCTAGATGTTGCGTTTGGCCATAAGTTTTAGTCAAAGTGAGTATTGCCCGAGTACCAGTCTGTCATCTTATCCAACAGCCCAGCCCGTTTTTTAGATGGGCAGAGCTCTATTAGGGTTGCTCCGAGCCTCTAAATCCGAATTTTGATATTGGTGTCCTTTTCTAGCCTTGTGATGATCGGGTTGAGTGGGAGTTTCCCGCCTTGAGGAACCCGCAATCTTTTTTGTGCGGTTCAATGTTCAATGTTTCGGGTTTTCCTTGGGTTTCTCCTTAGGTGGACAGTCCTCTGAGTTCTTCGGTGGCCATCTCTTGGACCCATGGCTCTGGTGCTCGGATAGGTGGCCGCTGGCGGCAAGCCGTGCAGCACCTGGGGGAGCTCCAGTGCCGGGCGCTGAGGCCCCAGGCGAGCAACTTCTGAGGGACCCAGCTCCCCTTCCCAGTTGTCCAGTGGCACCCTTGTGTTCCCTTCATTTTGGGAGAAGGGTTCCCCCTTAAACTCCCTTTTTACCCATGGCCAGCAGGCATCTGAGCCTTTAAACCGGGATTGAGAGGCTAAGTTTGAGGATGCGACTATGGAGGACCCGGTGTCATTAGCTTCTTGCAGAGCCTTGCAAGAGTACCGGGAGCTTCGGGAGGGCCGTCTTTAAACGGCTACGAAGTTATCCTACCTGCAGCGCTTGAACGTATCCTTGAGAGACGGGGTCAAGGCGAAAAGTTTGACATCCGCTTTCCGGGAGTTCAACAGCATGCCACAAAGGCAAGGCATCTCGTCTACATATGGATGGCGACAAACACACAACCTGCGCATGCATTGAGCGTTGAGTCGGGGCATGCGCGAGACCATCACCTTCAACGTGGCCATCTCTGCCCAGCCCTGGGCCTGGGGTGCTCTCCTCCTTGAGAGACTGGAGGTCTTGGCACTGCGGCGGAGCATCATCACCTACAACGCAGCTGCTCGGCTGGTCAACTTTACTCCGGGAGCAACTTGGGGGGAAAGGCCTCGTGCTGACTAAGCGCAGCATGTACTGGTTATGTGTGACTGTTTGAGCTGGAATCATGTTTGTTTCTCACCATCATCGCATCTCCCACACAATTGCGGTAGTCAGGCACAGCAGCCGTCATATCAGTTTTTTCATCCATTTCGCACTCAGAGATTTCTTGGAGATCTCCGGCTTGAAGATAGCACACACCCCAACACTTCTCATTGGCATTTGGCCGCTGATGCTGACCATTGAAAGCAGCGCAGGGCACGTCCTTGCGGTTTGGACCGGAAACTGCCTCCAAGGCCACGGCAGGGCCGTGGCGCAGTGCACTGTGGATCCAGCAGAGCCTCGGAATGATGGGGGGGCTGTGCATGAGAGCATCAGTTAGATTAGCCATGAAGTCGAGGTCCTTTAGGCTGCTTGACTGTTTGTTTTGATTCTTTCCCTGAGCAGACTAGAGAAGGCATGTGGAAGAGTTGGTCTAAGTCTGGCTCGGTGGCTTTGTTCGACAGCAAGCACGGCTCGGAAATTCATAAAAGGGAGCCTAACCCGAGACCAACCACTTAACGTTGTCCAACAGTTTTTCGATGCATTCCTATCTTGCCCCTCGCCCCTTGCCGCTCGTGAGGCTGCAGCGACGGCAAGTGCAGAGCAATGTGGTGGGCTGCTGCGCTTCTATCAGCGCGTGTGAGAAGGAGGCCTCGCAATTGGGCAAGATGTGAGGTTCGGTCAACATATCAGTTATTTGTGATGAGTTTGGGAGGGACATGGGGCCACGGGCATGATACTGGGTCACAATGTGACACATGCCAGCTTGTGGACAAGTCCATCCATGTTTTGCGGGTCATTCCAGCTCTGGACACGAAAGTTATCAACACCAAATCGGGCAAAAGTGAGCATTTGCAAGCTTGGCACAGTCGCAGATTCTCAGAACCCAAAGATGTCCAAGCTGAGTCACTCTGGGCAGAGGTTTTCCTTGGCTGCGGATCAAGGAGCCCAAATGATCCGCTACCATGGCGCCCATCAGAAGTCGGACAGCGCGTGGTGGGCGCGCGCTTTGTTGGAAGTCCGTGAAGGCCGTGGTCAGCGTGGCGATCTACGCCCTTGAGTGTGACGTGTCTCTGGTGGCGCCGTTTTGGGGAGGACGTGAGCGCGGCGTGGGGAGGAAGGCTGGCGGTTGTCCGGTTCCATACGATCAGAACCTCCATGCAGACCTGGTAGACATCGCTGCAGTCTGGGACCTGCGCGTAAAGTTTGGCGAATTTGCAGATCGCTTGCTCCCTCCGGTGGCCCACCCCGTGGGCGAAGTTCAGGAGCTAATCCGGGCACATGGTGAGAAGATGTTCCCCGGCTGCACAGTTGTGTTAGTCGGGTCATGTCATCGGCAGGTTCACAACAAGGACTTTTCGGACCTGGACTTCCACATTGAGGATCCAACAGGCGGACTTCTGTGACCTACTCAAACACGATCCAATAATTGAAAGCTTGGAATTCGAAGAGGGCTCCAACGCCATTCGTTTGGTGGTCTATGGCCGAATACCTTGACCGGGATCTCCAAGTACACGGGCCGGCTCAAACAGAACGGTTGAAGAAGCTCTATGAAGAATATCCTGGGGCTGTAAAAGCTGCGCGAGTTGCCAAATGGATGTTTCGAGACATGAAAGGGATGGATGTGGAGTACATTGTGAACGACGTGGCGCGCGACAGCCACAAGACTTGGCAGAGCAGGAGTCAAGATGTCAGTGGGGGCCTGCTTTTTGAAGCTGTGGTACTTCACTTGGCCCAATACCCAGATATTGCAAGGCACTCCTCTTTGAAGGAGTTGGAGAAGAAAGCTTTCACTGCAAGAGGCAAAGAAACACTGGTAAACCAGAAGTGGGCATTAAAAAGGAGCCAAGTTCTTGCCAAGGTGCTTCTTCAAGAGTGCAACTGCAAATGCCCCGACCAGCAGGCTGATTTTCTTCTGGACGCTACATGTCGGAACGCCTCTATGATTGAATATGCATGTCTCGCTGGAGAGCGACCCGAGACAACTGCGCATAAATTGGACTTAGCATTTCAAAAAACATGTCCATTTCTCCGGAAGAAGTGCGCTTCGGGTTATCCATCAAGCTTGCCGAAAAGAAGCAAGACCCGGGTAAATCAACTCCCAATGCTGTTCGGCGGAGGAGCAGAAAAGGAAAACAAGGCTCGTGTGGCTCATCTGACGGCTTCGGCGCCCACACTTGGGCACAGAAGATCCTACTTATATATTTGACGACATGCTCTACTTGCTGGAGAAGGGCACAGTTGGAAAAACCGTTTTGGAATGCATGTCTGTGGACGCGATCATGGAGATGGCAACCCGAAAGAAGCGGCAGGAACGATGGAGGAGCAGAAGAATGCCAGCGGGCATGCATGAAGTAGTATCAAGAATGAAAGCACTTGGCATTGACACATGTGACGAGCTGGCCGATGAGATAAAGAAGTCCAACCTTTCCCCAGCCTGGAAAGCCCCACTACTAGCCTTCCTATTTGTTTGGAGAAGTCATGCCGGTGCTTGATTTCAGACCCCCAACGAACAGCCTCAAAAAGAATTGCCCACAAAGAAGACACCCATTGCATCAAAACAGGCTCACCCCTTCCAAATGGTTGGTTTCATCTCGGCTTCTTTGTCGTACGCTCTTACATGGCAAGAAATGGTTTCTCCCGCAGTTCATGCTTAGCTGTCGGGAACTGACAACATGTTACTGCCATACAGCTATGCCTGGCTCACAACTTCCCCAGGTCTGAGCAGAAGGGATGCCAAGCCAAAAGGGCACCTTGACCAAGCTGCGACATACTTGGTTCTAGCTTGCATTGGCAGTGGACTACTTGCCCTCTTCATGAGTGGCAGGGCTGGTTTGGCTTGCTCTTTTAGCCCTTTTTGGCGCATGTCCTGAAGCATTGATTCCCTGATAGCAGGCCTTGGGCAAGCATTGTGTAAGACTGGGGGCGGCACTGATCAGACTCTTGAGTTCTTTTTTTTCCACGCTTCATTTGGGCAGCTGACAAAATTGCCAATTGGAGAATGAGGGCAGTACAGGGGTGTCACCATCACCTCCATGATCCGGAGTCGAGCGTGTGTAGCAGTACATGGGGCAACCACCCATTGTCTACACAACAGAGAAGCCTTTTTTTCCATGTCACACGGCACCCCCAACGGCCAGGGGCAGTGGCAGTTTGCTCTCCTCCTCTTGGCGGAGCTGGGTGCGAGCCGCATGCGCCAAGGCTTATTTGAAGCGGCACGAAATGGTCTGAGTGCAGGAAGGAACCCTCCCCGAGCACATGATTTACCACTGGTTTTGGGAGGACGTAGAACTTTGGGACAACCCAAACTCCTCTGCAATTTGCCCATGTCCGCTTGGGGAACGGCCTTTGCTAGGTATGGGATTGTTGAAGCGATGCTCGAGCTGAGGCAAGCCAACTTGATTGTGTTCAATGCTGCTATCAGTGTGCCCTGGCGGGGTTCGTGAACCGCTTATGCGGCGGTGCAAAGTGCAAGACACATGTCGGAGTCTCATGGACAAAGGATGTGTTCATTGCTTTGGACCGCTCTAGGTCGGCATGCCGGCCAGCCAAATTGAGCCATGATTTGACCTTGACTTTGCCCTACTGAGATTGGGCCCTTGAAGTGAGCATTCTGAGGGCTCAGTTCACTTGTTTTTCTGGAACTACCATTTAGCCACTTGAATGGACCCAGTGATTCCGAGTTTTGCTTCAGATTTTGGTGTGCCAACCTAAGGCCTGTGCCAAGAGCAGCCAGTGGCAAATGGCGCTGAGCCACTCGGAAGCAAAGCATCCTCAAATAACCCCCCAGCAATTGGGTGGCAAGAGAAGGGCTTCTTCCGAGCCGACTCCCCAAGTCATGTTGTCCAATGGGACGTGCTGCAAACGTTTCAGCACATTGACCCATGGCTAGGCCTCTTCCAGCGGCTGACTCCAGACGCGCTGAGCTTCAGCGCGGTCTTGGGGGCTCTTTGCGGAGGCGCCTGGATGGCTTCTTTTGGTTGCTCTACTGGAAGGAAGTGGGGCAATTTTGGCTTATCCAGTTTGTTGGTTGGGCTTCTGATTCCCTTTTAACAGGACCTCCAGTCAGAAAACAGTATGCCAGTGAGTGGGAGGGCAATTGAGGGATTTTATGCTTTTGGGTCGCACACCCTAGTTGCAACTTGCTATAACGACCGGGTTCCATGGCTCGGACCCTGTGGTTTTTGTATTTGGCCAGATTGCCCCGGTACTGTGTACAGCCCCTGTGGTTTGGTTCGTGTGAACTGGGCCAACGACAAGGAACCTCCTGCCCGTTTTCTTCCCGTGGGAACAGAGGAATAAGGGAATGTGCGGGGAGCTCGATCTTTCGACATAGCCTGTAGCTGCCATCACTGCCCGAACGGGGCTTGGCAATTCTCAGTTTACGATTCAGGTGTCTTATTGCAAGCGTTGCGCAGCCACAAGTGCAAACAGGCTAGGAGAGAGCGGACACATCGAAGGAGGCGCCTTCTGTTGCTACTGCAAGGTGTTATCATGTAGTCATGGCCCCTCTCTCAAGGAACGTGTGCCCTCAGGTGTCATCGCATTGTGCTTGAAGTGGCAACTTGAAAAACATCAGCATACCACAGATCCAAGCAAGTGTGTGACATTGAGATGCAGAGGTGAGAGACAACTGCCTCAGATGGTTTCCAGGACCCGGCGCTCTCATGGGATGTATGATACAACGCCTCTATGCAAATCAGAAGCAGTTTTGCACGCAAGCACTTTACACACGGGAACGTAGAAGGGGTATACATTCCGTTTCCACCTGGATCCCGGCGATGCAGGCAGTGAGTGGCGGCGAGCGCTGCTGCAGTTGGATTCCTCTTTGTGCTGCCTGGAGGCGTCGACGGAGCGCATGCTGACATGCTACAAAGCCCTCCTTTGGCAGAGTTTGCCTATATTCCCCCCTAAAGGGGTGGCTCTAAACATCCCCCTCGGGGCCAATTTAACGTGAGTTGCCTTTTGGCGGGGTGATGTTGAACGGGGAAATGTAGGGCGCCCTGTTTGGGGAACGCATTGTTGCCAGTCCTGTGAAGTGAATTATCGCCCGCGACGAATGATCATGGTGCAACGGGGATCCCGAAACATGGTTTCTTTTTCCCTTGAAACCGAGCCAATAAAGGAGCACTCTTAAAAGCAACACGGGCACATGCAGACACATAGCCACTTGGGTTTTGAAAGCTTGAGGTTGCAAACCCATCGACCGAGCAGTCGCCATGGACCTGGCACGCGCCAAATGGCAACAAGCAGGAAATCCAGCAACCTCGCTAGGGAACAATCGCCCGAACGACCGGCGTTTCTGAGAGGTCTTGGAAGCTTTTTGTAGGGGACCCTCCTCTTTGTTGGGTTCCACGTTAAATCTGTAGGGGGGGAACACCACAAGCTATGAAGCAGCTCGCCTTGGATGAGTGAGAAACGGGCCCTTACGAGAAGTAACTTGAAACAAACAATCAAGCCCGCGCGTGAATTGTCCTCTTGCTCCTCCTCCTCCTCCTCCTCGAGCACTTTCAACTCCGCCTTCTTGTCGTTTCTTACCACGAACACTGGCATGTTCTGGTGGGCTCCTGTCATGGGAAAGTTTGAAAGCTATCCTGTGCTTGCTTTCTTCATAGAGAATGTGGGAATGACCTTCTTCCAATCACAACTGCATCCAAATGTAGGAAATTATTGTGGTGGGGTAATTCCCATCTGAGCTTATTGGCAGTCTGCTGATTTGCCTTTGTGGTATACAGGCTTTCGCGATTGCAGCCGTTTGATCGAGGGACTGGCTCCCCTTCCGGCGTGGCAGTTGTGCCACGTGTGCTCCATGGCATGGTTTTGACAACTAGTTGCCTTGAAGATGAGCTGGTAGAGAAGCCTGCACCATGGCGCGAAAGAGCGCAGTACCATGCTAAGCGCTTTCAGGAGAAGGATGCCAAAGTGGTCCTTCGTCGCTACGAGCAGAAGAGGATCATGAGCCGGCCGCAGCTCGACAAGCATGCCTTTCACGTGATTCCTGGCTTGTGGCGCTTCCAGACGCGAGACAGAGCAATGGCGTTTCCGTGGCGGCACTGCTGTTAATTGGAGTCTCTGGATGATGGGATGATGGGCAGCCAATTTGTGAGCGCCTGAAGAGGGTTCTCTCACTGGTCTCAGCTGAAAGTTCGGGACTCGCGGTGCCAGGCACAGGGCGGAAGGGAAAGGCGGGGATGATGCTTGCAGAAGAGCCTGAAAAGCCGGATTCTGACCAGCCAGTTGACCTTGCCTGTTCTGCAAAGGCTGCGCGGCTCATGCAGAAGGCCATCCAAACGTGGCAGAACCACCCGTCCGAGCACCAGGAAGTGTACGTGGGTCATGGATGCGAGGGAAAGATGCCGGCATCCAGCGCATCCAACGACCAGCCAACGCTGGCCACCAACCTGCCGAGTGGACCTGGCAGATTGCGCCTTGCTCCCGTGTTCCAACGCTTGCAGTCACTGCTGCAAACATCTCAGGAACTTGTCGCTGGTGAAAGCTTGGTCGCGCGCAAGAAGCAATGGGCTCAGCTTGAAGCTAGGTGTGCCAGCGCCATGCCGGCCGATGCAGACGAACCCGTTTCAGCATGTGCAAAGGGAGCCGGAGATGATACTGGCATTGTCAAGCGTAAGTCTTCAGCATCATGTCCCCATGGCAAGCAGCTGAGATGACGCTGTGCTCAAAGCACTGTCTGTCCACATGGCCACACGAAGGAAGGGTGTAGGCTGTGCAGCGCGTGCCCGCATGGCGAGGCAAAACGTAGCTGCAAACAGTGCATGTCCGCATGGCAAGCGGGCGGACACTTGCTTGCATTGCAGCGGCTGCCCACACGGAAAAGTCAAGCGCAATTGCAAGAAGTGCAGTGCATGCCCACATGGCAACATCAAGAGCAACTGCTTGCAGTGCGTGGCGTGTCCACACGGCAAGAAAGAATGCCACTGCTTGCAGTCCTCCGCATGGCAAGCTGAAGCGAAAGTGTCGCATATGCGCTGAAGCGAGGAAAACATGAACTGCACTGGCATGCCCGGCGGTCATTGCTGAATTTCTCGTGTCCCGTTTCGTGTGTCAGAAGAATCCAGTTACGGGGAATAATGAAGAGATTTGGGGGGCTTGTCATTGCCTGTTCGAGCTGCCAAGTTGCAAGGATTCTTTGGCAGTCTCGGTGCCTGATTGGAAGCTGATTTGGCCCCCAAAAGTGCAGAGATTCCTTTTGGTGGTATGCCAAACTTGTCTCAAAACAGCCAGTCAAATGAGCTTCTCTTCTTGAGCTACCATCTGTAGGGTTTTCGAAGCACCGGCACCTATTGTGCAAGTTGAGGAGGGCGAAACGGGGAGGCCCGCCCGGGTAAAGACCACCCGATGTTCCTCATTGTCAGCCAAGATTATTGCCCGCGGCTGATGTTCGTCGGATCCGTATGGATACGTTTTTTGTTTTGTTTAAATAGGGAGCCACCTCGAAAGTGATTGGCGGACATGAATACCCACCAAAATGATGTCCGCCAAAGGGTCCCCCAATTTCAATGCATACCCATATAATGCGCAGTTGTGGCATCTTGAAGGGTTTTTCCTCAGATGGTGTAATGTTCGGGTAGCAACGGGCCACACTCACCACCAAATACCACTGAGTCAATGCCATTAGGGGACAGTCTCTCCAAATCCGCCAGCCCTCCAGGCGGTTACTTTTCGTTTGCCTGCCCTTTCAAACCATCCAAAAAGGATTTGTGTTTTTTTTCTTCAGATAGACCCACAAGTGGACCATTAGCTTCGCGTTGCCTCCAATACATTTGCTGTAGCCTTTCAAAATGGTCTCTTGGTCTTTCCTTTGGTGCATTTTGCTTGGATGTTAGGACTTTCACTTTTTTTTGCCAACTACTGGGTTTTCCATTAAACCACAAAAAGGTAAACTTTTTGCAGGGGAGCAGAAAGCAACCAAGTTTCCTCAGGTCTCCCTTTGGTTGGTTTCCCGTGGACGAGGTCCCCGCCGCGAGCCCCGAGCTCCCCTCTCCGCATGTGGCGGAGGCGGCCTCCACGCTGCCCCTGCGCTGGCGCCAGGCTCTGCTGCTGACCGCGGAGCTGCGGGAGCGCTTGGGGCGTGGCTTGGTGCAAAACCCCTGACCGGTTTGCTTTGGTTTGGTTTGGTTTGGTTTGGTGTTACACATGTTGCTATGTAGGGGTAGTTCTGAGCGGTTTGCTCATTTGCAGCGCTCCATCATTCTGCACGGCTCTCGTCAAGGAACGGGTGGCCGATGCTGAGCCTCTTGATCACGAAGAGGCATGACCCCAACTCGCAGGCGCTTGCCAAGACTGATCCTTCCCGAACCAACAGTCTGTGTCTCACCTGCACGTGTGCACAGACTCAGATCATTCAGGATGTCCCCATCCAGCCCTCCAAGCAGATGACTTTGTAATCCCGGTTTTCCTTTGTTATTTTGCAGCCCATCTTTTCTTGGGTGTCATGAACCCAGCTGCCAAGATGGATATGTCCAATGAAAGGCTGCCCATTTAGCCTCCGCATTCGTCATTGAACCACGGTCGCTTTCCCCCAACCACTGTGACTTGTGTGTGGGAAACTTAGCGGTTCGCGGCCATGCTCCTGAACTTTAAGACGTTTAGAGCTTATAGAGATTTATGACATACGCCAATGAAAGCTAAACTTCTGCAAGGGATCAAGGAACTTCTCAGAGAGACTTGTTGAAGACCTCTAATTCTTGCATGTGTCAAATGGGGGGCCACATGAATACTGGCTTTTCGTTTGGGTTTACCTTGAACCACCCCAGCAAGGATGCCCTCAAAAAAGGAACCTCTACAACGGCAGTCTCTTGATTTTCCTGCGCACCAAGCCCAGGCAGATTCGTCTGAATGAAAGCGCACGCACGCACACACGCACACACGCGCGCGCACGCGCGCGCACGCATCCATTTACTGCACCGAAGGGCCCAAGTAGCTTCCGATAATTTGCTTGACATTTCGAGTTTCCCCTGTTTTGACTCTTTTTGGACCCCGTTACATCAGAAAGGGCCTCTTTCGGCTCTTTGCCTGAGGCCCCAGCCTCCTGGCCTCCGCGGTGTTGCTAGGCGCCTGCGCACACGCCGAAGCGTGGCAGAGAGCGCTGCACAGCGGAATCGCAGGCTCGCGCAGATGGACCGGTTTCACGAGAAATGAAAAGGCAACCAAGAGCAGGATTAGAAGGAACAAAAATAATGGGCTTTGGGGTCCAATTCCGTTGAGCCATTGGTCACAGGATCGGTTCCTTCACTTGGGGTCGGCAGGGCTGATCTTAACTTCCGGGGTTTTAGACAACAACTATAAGGTTTCCTACGGACCAAAGGAAACTTGACCATGACCCACATAAGGGAGTTTGACCACGGCATGGCTTGGGCGTTCTTCTAGGGCTATTTTTTTGCAAAAAAGGCCATGCTTGGAGTTGAGTGTTGTGGAATGATGAATATGTGCACGAGCGTGTGCGTGGGTGGGCGGGCGGGTGGGTGGGTGGGTGGGTGCGTGCGTGCGTGCGTGCATGCAAGTGTGTGTGTGTGTGTGGCCCCCGTGTTCCTAAGGGGCTTCTTCTTCTTCTTCTGTCTTTCTGGGGTTTTGTTCCACACCGGCGAACCGGCCCCCTTTGTTGCTACCATGTGGTGGTGATGCAGGCTGTGACGAGTACCCACCACATGGGAAAGCATTCGGAAGGTAAGCCGACGAAACTCCTTTTTCCTTTTCTCTTTTTTATTTGTGGGTTTCCTTGTTTGCGGTTTCCTTGTTTGTGGTTGTCTTGCCTTTGAACTGTCTCATATCAAGTGTGTGTGTGTGTGTGTGTGTGTGTGTGTGTGTGTGTGTGTGTGTGTGTGTGTGTGTGTGTTTGTGTGGTAAAACAAGTGTGCTTGTGCCCAGCTGGACGATAAGTGTCGGGCGTGCAGGCAACGCTATCACCAGCAACGCGGTGATCGCCGCCTGCACCAAGGCCACACGGGAGGAAAGTGTTTTCATGTTGGGAGGCATGTGCGCTTTTTGAGAGTATCCCTGTTTGGAGGGGTTTGAAGGGAAACCCAAAGGAAAACCACCATTGTTTAGTCCCCATCTTTTGATATAGCCAAACTGAGCCAAACAGATTTGCAGCCAAGTTCGCGCACAAAAGGTCCGCGTTGGTCACGCATTGATGGGAGGACTGGCGGTGAGAATCAACTTGCCTGGTAGGGTGGCACATTTTGTAGAATGGAAATCCATCAGCCAAGCCCTTGATTAGTAGAGGGGTGCCCTAAATTGGAGTGGTTCTTTGCTTTTTGGAACCGGGTTCATGGCTGGGTCAGTCGACCCAGCCCCGTGTTGACTGCTTGAAGGCGGGCCGCTGGCACCGGGCGCTGGTGCTCTTTGAGGCGACAGAGGCTCCAGATGCGACAACATTTCAGGACGCGGCCAACGCCTGCGAGACAGGCGACTTGGCGACCCCTTGGATTACAAATGGAGGATATAAACCTCCCAAATGGGGTGTACCCTGTTTATAATCCTCTTAACCAATTAGAGGTGGCCAAGTACAAGGGAGCTGTGGAAGATGCGAATGCTATGACACCCCTTGGATATCACCTAGCTGTGCCAAGCATAGCTTCTACGCTGGATTCCCTGAAGGGCCCAGCTCGTCTTGATCCGTTCCCATTTGTCCCGTTGGAGTAGCTGACAAAACTATGGGTAGGGAAAGCATTCGTAATTCTGTTTGGGGTTCATTTGTCCCATTTGTCCCATTTGTCCCATTTGAGCCTTGCGCGCAGGTGGGGCCACCGCGCTGGGGGCCTTGCTGGGGCGTTTGCAGCGCCTCGCGCTAGCAGCGCTGCAGGCGGGACTCCCTTTCGACCGGCCGGTGGTTGACCCAGTTTTGCCATTGACAGACTTGGATGCCTTTGTAAACTTTTGGGCTTTCTGGTTTTATGTCTGCCACCATTGCAAGATATTGCTTTGAACCTATGAGCTCCGTGTTCTGAAGTGCGACCCTTGACTTCGCAACTGCTGTTGCCCTTTCAAGCAATTGCGTGAACAGAAGTGGACCGGTTCTGCCTCAGATACTTAGCCAATGCCACAAGCCCATGAGCCTGCACAGTTGCTGGCACATTTGGGAAGGGTGTTTGAAGTTTTTGCAGAGGTTGGCAAAAGCAGCTGGAGCAAGAATACAAGTGAATGTGGAGCATACAGCACAGCCTGTGTGGCTTGTGCGTAGTGTTTCGACGGGGATTGAGCATCCAGGGCATGCAAGCCGAACAATTGTTGGATGATTTCCACTATCCCCAAGTATCTACCGCAGAGACGCTGGGGGTACCACGTTTTCTTTCGTGGGGTCAGGTTCTGTGCACATTCTATCGCGTTCTTTTCGGCAGGTGCCGAGCTCCTCTCGGTGATAGCCCAGAGGTTTGGAGGCTGCCAATGGCAACGGCTGTCTTTCATTTCAACAGTCCAGTGTTTGATTTGGCCCTATGCTATGATATGGCCCTATAGCTATGTTTGAATGTTTTGTTGACCCTATGCTATGTGCCCGGGTCATTGGCTGATCCTTGGCCCTGAAGCGATGCTCGACAGGTCGGAGCCACGAGGTTTCAACATCAAGGGCCGCGCTTGAACTTTCACACATTTGATTGTCATGTCCAGCTGATGGCTATTGCAATCATGGAGCACTTGGAGACCAAATGCTCCACGACCGCAATAGCTGTCAGCTGGACTGTTGCAGGACTTGCAGATGATTCATTCGTCTTTTCTTGCTTGTGCTCACGCGTGCAAAGCTTGGTTCTTGGCACATGCGAGAAGCGCAAATCCATGGGCGAGCGCTCTTTGTGCCAAAGACTCTTGATCCAAACTCTACTGGTCGCACATGCAGCACGTGCATGCCTGATAGAGCTTTTTGAGTTGTTTGATCCGCCTATTTCAGTTGGTACTGCGCTTGCATTACAATGGCCTTGTAGTGCATAGATGATGATTGCCGCGGGGGTATGCATGCAGGGCAAGCCGGCAATTCAGAGGCATTTGTTCGAGCTCAATGCACGGCTGAGAAAGATACGCAGACCTAATTCGCGCGGACCGGTTTTCCTTTTTAGGTTGCGTTATAGTTTCGGAGCAACAGAACTAGGCAGCATGTTTAAGTTGCACCGCGAAGATGAATGATGATTAAGCCGCATCCACAATGCTGAAGCTCGACAGGCTGTACATTTTACCCTTCACCCTGGTGCTGTGATCGCACGCAATGCTTTGCAGCACTGCGCCGATGAATCAGTGCAGCCATGGCAGCCACGGCTGCGTCCAGGAGCGGGTGCCTATACAGTAGAATGAGCAGCTTATTGAGATGCACGTTGTTATTGTGTGTGTGTGTGTCTCTCGCTGTGTGTGTGTGTGTGTTGTGTGATGTGCTTAAGCATTCAGGTCAGTCCGGATACCTCACTTCTTGAACCAATCAGACCATCATGGTTAGACACCCGCTTTGTCCTTTATTGTTTGCAAAACCTGAGATAATTAGGTGCTTGGCCTATACCACTCGTTGCATTTTCCAGGGGCCCCCGACCTCTGCTGATAGCATCACAGACATGCAAAGCACATCATCACGACAACAACCACACCATCAGCTTGCTTGAGACATGATTAATGTTAGGCCTGCTTGGATGTGACCCCCGACCTACAGTGCCAATAGTCATTTGGACACTCTTTAGTGGAAAAGAGGGCGGGTCAGGGTTGTTTGCCAATAGTAAGTTTAATTTTGGTAATACTTAGGTTCCTTTTGGCAACCCTAAATGCAAATTTACTATTGTCAAGACTGGTTCTCAGATTCCCAGTGTTTAATTTAGTATTGCCAATTGCCAAGTCTAATTTAGTATTGCCAAGACAGGATCGCAGATTCCCAGTATTTGATTGCAAACGCTGTGCGCTGCCTCGGCCAGGTTAAAAGGAGCCCGAGAGCAATGCAGGCTTGAGCAAATGATGCTGGCTGGGCTGAGCAGCAAATAGTGACTGGCAGGAACTTGAGCGGCGGGGCCGGCCAAACATGTAAAAGCACTAGGGCGGTCGAGCAAGATTGGGCTGGGGAGGCTGGGTTGAGTCCGTAACGGGAAAGTCATGTGTGAGGGAAGGGCTCCAATCAGCAAACGAGTGTAGTCCAGCAACCCTTCACCCTTGCCAGAAGCTGGCCAGAAAGATTGGGGGCTGAGCTGGGGCTGAGCAGGGAACGGGGCTGAGGAAGATCGCGGAAAGCTTTGTAACCGCGGTCAAAAACCAAGCCTCTCGGGACCTATTCCCGTGCTTACCTGGGATTCAAGCAAGTTCGTTTGGATCTCAGGATCTCACCAAGTCCGAACAAATCCAACCTTCACACCATTCCTCGCTGCTTCCCCCAATCCATCCGCAAGGAGCCCGGAGCTGGCCGCATGCAACACAGTCATCGGGGCCTGCGCCAAAGGTGGGGGCCACGGAGGGCTCTTTAAACTCTCAAGGTGGCCAGGCGTCTTTCCGTCCCTTGGAAAACGGGGCCTCCTTCAGAGCGTTGCAAGGGTACAAATGTGGGTGCTTTTTTGCGGAAATTTCTGTTTTTGGGGGTTAAATGACCAACAATGACCAAAGGGAATGCAATCATTTGGAGGGATTCCTCGATGAACGCATTCCTGTACAAGCTTCCAACCAAATCCTCAGTGGCATGTTACAAGACCTTGAAGCCACCACTTTTGTGCGTCTATGGTCCTTGGCCTTCCACCTCAGGCAGCCGGTGGCAAGAGGCATTGAGCCTTTTGGGCCATCTGCCGGAGGGCCTGGAAGCAGATGTCATCAGCTACACCTCGGCAACTCGGTCGGAATCCCGGCGCTTGTGTCTTTTCAAAGTGTTTGTCAGGATTCCTACACAGCATTCGTCGTTTTCAATTTAGAGTGGCCTGCCTTTTGGTAGCGTGATTTTTAAAGGGGGAATGCGGAGAACCCAGTCCGCAGCTAGCGCTTCATATCAATCCCGCCAGCCACCCTAAAAGATGCAAGTACGGCATTGGACAGGCTCCTCAGAGTGTGGAGGATCCACGGCTCACCGGCAGACTCCGGCCGGTTTGCCATCCGAGGCGATGAACGCCTGCAGCAAGGGCCTCCGTTGGCCGGAGGCGCTGCACTTGCTGAGGCGGCTCCCCGTGGTGCGCCTGGTAGGCGCGGCCGCAACGGACGAGAGTGAAGGGGCCAAGTTGCGAAGGTTTGTCCAGGAGTAGACGAGAGTTGGTGGGAGTAGTTAGTCTATGGGTTTGTTTGGGAGGGACATGGAGGACTTGATAAATGTCGCACAAAATCCAAAAGACTCACTAAGTCTCCCATGTCCTCTTGGGGGAATAAAGTCATTTGGACCGTGGCTCGCAAAATTTGGTGGACGCCCCCGGTCGAATGGGAAACTTGGGCGGGCCCCCCATGTCCTCCCCAAACCAATAGTAGACTAAGAATCTAAGAATAGCTTCTGCTGTGACTCATGTGATGATGCATGCACCATGGTAAGATACTGAATTTATTGAGGTTGGTAGACATGCTCCTCAACCACTTTGCAGACTTTGGCCCCCAGACGTTTTGACCATGGCGCACGTGTGTGTGTCAAACGTAGGCAACGAATCATTTTGCTTGGATTTTAAATTCGTATCTATTTTCTAGCAGAGACTCCGACAGCAACGGCTATGGAGTCTTGGAGGTCTTTGGTGCCATCTTGCATCTCCAGCAACGCCTAGTTGTGGGGTCTTGGTCAATCTGGATTGAGTTTTGGGCGGGCCACGGACAGGTCCCAGGAAGGTTCCGGGAAGACGATTCTGGTGAAAGGTTCTAGCCTGGTTTCAGCCGATTCGCCTGGTTCCGGAAGTTCCGGTGTTGGGGTGCTCCTAGCGCCTTTTCTACAGGCAGTCAGCTTCCCTGTAATTGTTGGTTTGGATTGGTGGTTTGGAGGTTGGGAGGGTGGTTTTCCATTGACCCTCTACAAGGGTTCAAATCCCCAAACCACCAATTAAGCCACCACGTAAAACCAGCAAGTAAGGATTGCTCGAGGCCGAGACTTTAATTGGGGACATTGGATGAGATATTTTTTTTGTTGGGCGGGGGGTGGGGGGTGGGAGCCGGGACACGCGGAAGCACGAAAGCTTTCCTTGGTGACTTACTTCAAAAAAGTGCCAGCTTCCAACTTTGGCACACCAGACGCTTGATACATGTACATCCTCCATGCGTAGAAACTGAAGCAACTTAAGGTGCATTACACAAAGTTCATGTCATCCTGGATCACCCGTACCCTTTGCGCGTAATCCCATCGGCAATTGCCAGTACTTGTTCCATTGTTCGGCTTCTTGCTATCTACTCGGGTTGCATTTTTGGAGCCAAAAAGGCCATTCCGCCATAGTGGGCCCCTTTTTGGCTGGTTTTGAAGTTCCAAACGCAATCCACAAGGACACGCCCCATTTCTAGGAGTGGCCCTCCCCACAGGCAACGTGGTGACATACAGCACCGTGCTGGGTGCCTGCGAGTGGCGGCGGGCACTCGAGCTGATGGAAGAGATGAAGGGCGCCGAAGTGGAAGGCAACGTGCCGCTCGCCAGTCAGTCACTTCCAGTTCTTCCTCACTCCTGCGGCCCAGACCATCTGCGATTTGCCAGGAATCCTTGTATTTCCGTTCTTGGGTCATCTTCAAATGGGTGATATGAGCAATGGACAACATAACTGGGACATAGATGTTGGTGGGCACCTGTCTGTTCTGCAGATTGATGAGTATTCTAGTGATGTTTGTTTGTGTGTGTGTATATAAATGTCAACTGGTTGACCCCTTTGATGGACATCATTTATGAGGGTAAATGGTCCCCACGCAAGAATGTATTTCCCGTCAAAACTCATAGTCATGTGACATGTGAGGTCTGGGGATTTTTGGCGTTGCACATGCACACTTGGCATCAGCGAGGGATTCGATGTCATTACTGCAGGGAGATTTGCATTATGTTTACTTCCTTTGTTTCACGTGGTCAAGATGAGACCCTGGAAGCATTTGACGATCCAGTCGATTGCCTGTCGCAAGCAAGCTTAAGGGCATGACTCCAGAGATTGATGGCAATGTATTTTGCGCAAGCCCAAAGTGCTGCGAACAAGTGTCCAGCTGCAGAAATGGCTGGTTTGCGTTTATGCCATGGCCCGGCAGAGAAGGAACACATGCTGGGTTCAATCTGCATTTCTATCAGTACAGATTGCTTGCAGCCTCCTGACAGCGCTTGATACATTTGTACACATTAGCCAGTTAGGCTGGGTGACAAGCTCACCCACGATGAAGCATTCTGGAGGTTTTCCAATTCTAATGTGTGCGTTATCGTAATTCTGCACGGACGCACGCGTGATTGTTTTTCCACATCAGCGCAGCTTTTTGTTCACATTGGGTGGACATTGAGGCCAATCCTTGGATCTCAGCAAAACAATCATAGGCAGGCATGGCTGTGTTTTCCGCCACCTTTGACTGAAACTCGGTGGTTTCACAAACTTCACACATGCTTGTGCGCCAGACAGGGTTGGGCAAAACTTGCTTAGCCAACTACCTCACTTTTTAACGAAACCGAATGGAGTGGTGCGGCCCAACCCTGGTGGCCGCGAGCGCGTCGATCTGTTCCCAAGCCGGCCGAGGATCACGTACAGCGCCGCGATCAGCGCCTGCGAGAAGAGCGCGGAGTGGCAGATGGCACTCGCCCTGCTCGAAGAGTGCCGGCATCTGAGAGTACTTCGAAGCTTTAGATGAAACAAGGCTGGAACTTTCTGCTTTCTTTGGTTTCCCTGTACTTGAGCCTGTGCCGATTGAGCAACAGTACTGGAGCAACACTGTGAGACCTGCTGCTGATTGGAAGCCCAACAGTTGTGTGCTGTTGATGACGACAGTTTAGACCTTCTCTGCAATAGGTCTGCTTGATTCATTGACTGCTTGGCTTGCTCCATGATGACCTACATCTCACAAGTTTCTGCCCTCATGTTGCAGTTCTGGTCAAGCTTGAGGTCTTGGGCATGGCGTGTGCGTTCCTCTAACTGTGGCAGAGGAAGCGGGACGCCATTGCTTTGAGGTCAGCAGCAGTCAGTGCAGGCCAACAACATCCTCTACAGTGCTGCCATTAGTGCTTGCGAGAGACTTGGCCCTGAGATTGAGATTGGCTCAGAACCCTCTCTCTCCCACAATCAGTTTGTGATGTACAGCTTCTTCAAATCGAAGCTCTGCCAAAAACGTTCGCGCAGCCATGCGCGGGCAACTGCCAGCATGGACACCTGAGCGAACTTGCACCGAAGGACGAGTATCATAATTTTCACTTGATGCTATTGCAATTCTCGATCAGCAACATGTTGGAGAACCAATGAGTCATTGATTGCCCTCTACCAACAAGTTGCCAAGCATTCAAATTTGTTTTCACCTGCAATGGTTGTTTCCCACAATACTGCAACGTGGAGCTTCGGCGCTCACCAACAGATCGGGAAGACCAGTGTATGCTTGAGCAGTCTTTCAGCAAGAGTTATTGTCGCAAGTGACCCCCCAACCTATGAAGTCCCAAGCTCATTTTGCAATTTTGCCCTAGTCCTCGCCTGAGTCATCCTAGGAAGGGCCAGCAATGGCAGCCAGCTCTGGCACTGCTGCGCTTCTGCCAGCATTGTGCACAGCCCGACGTGGTGATGTACAATGCAGCGCCTGGAATGCAAGATGCTAGGCACGCTGGACACTGGGCTAAAACGGCATCTAGATACCAAGGGTGCATTCGATGTTCTGCGTTTGATGGTCGGCAGATCTCTCGTTGCGCAACAGGGATTCAATTCATGGTTGACGGATGTTGACGGCAAGTTGGCATGAGTAGCGGTCCACTAGGCAAGTTGGAACAATCATCTATGCATCTCGTGAGGCATGGTTGTCGGCATCGCAAGTCCTGCTTGGGAGCAGTTTTTGGGATCGCTCAACCGAATCAAGAGCACTGTTACGCCACTTTCTTCAAATAGTATGTGGGCCTGTTGAGAGTCCAATGCTGACGGCTCATAGTTTCAGCGCTCCACGGGGTAGCTAAAATCAGCCGGTGGGCTCCACAGATGAAATCTGCGAACTATTTATTTTTCGAGATCAGCTTGTCCTTTTGTCCATTGCTTTGACGCACAGATTCTCATTCTCCACAATATCGCCTGCGTCCCAACCAGCTTTTCGTAGCCGTGCTGCTTGTCAATGAGTCCCAAGGATCCCCTCAAGAGCTGCCCTCCCGTGGTGCTCCTGAGCCACAATTCATGTCGAGAAGCGGACGCATTACCAGTCTGTTCCAACTTGCGCATTTGTCAAATTTGAGTACCTTGTCTTCCCAGAATGCAGAAACCCCGCTAGCTGCCTGATAACAAGAGGGGGATCAGTGGCTTTGGCGCATAATTTGGAGTAAGGGGATGACCAACTCACAATTTTGATTCCCCTCTTCCCCCCCGCCACCTCACACGACTGCAGCCTTTGAGACATAGGCCATCAGTGCAGTACCCTGGCCCTGGGCGCTGTGGCTCTTGCAGCAGGTGGGAGCGGTAGCCCGAGGAATCCGCGGCTGAATTCATGTCCGAACTGGTGAACCACACCGAACCGGTCCGACCAATCCGAAGTTGACATACATGAGTCTCTTTTGTCTCCGACCTCCGATGAAGGTGTTTTTGATCCCTTTGCGAATCCAAGGGTCTTTATACAGGCTTCCATGCCAACACCTTCCGATCATTTTATCAAGGTGCAGGCCCAGGATGGGATGAAGCTTGAAAGCTTTTGGTCATGAACGTGGGGTGTGTGATGATGCGCCTCAGTTGGGGAGTGCGCCAAAGTAGCCTGCATCCCACGAGAGAGATTTCCGGGGGCAAGATGCGGCCAATTGATTTTATTGTTGGGGTCGCAGACCAGCAACGATATTGTAATCTTTCTTCGGGATAGCGGACTAATTTCTTGAGCCGCTCTTCACGCCCTTCCTGGTTTGCCCACTTTGCTGGCAGCCTCAGAATGAAGCGCTAAGCGCTCTGCGGGTACGTGGCACTTGTTGAGCGCACTATACAGCATCTACAGCCTCTGATTGTTTTTCTTTGGGTTACGGACTAGGCATCCCTCGTGTTGGACATGTACCTCAGGCTCCCATCGATCCACTCATACAACTGTGCATGGAAGCACACTTTGAAAAACCAAAAGCGGTCAGAACATAGTGATACTGTGAGACCCGCGCTCGTTGAATTGTGTTTGCAACCCACAAAATCTGGTCGCAGCATTTTAATCAAGGAGCTTGTTCCCTGTCCGGCGTCCTTATGACAACCGGTTGCCATGAAGATGAGCTGGCAGCGATGCCTGCGCCATGGCGCGAAAGAGTGCAGTACCACTCTGCGCGCTTTCAGGAGAAGGATGCCAAAGTGGTCCTTCAGGGCTACAAGCAGTAGAGGACAATCATGAGCCGGTCGCAGCTCGAAAAGAGCGCTTTCCATGGCTTCCTGGCTTACAGCGCTCCCAGACGCAAGATGCAGCCATGGCGCGCGACTCAGAGGAGGCACTGCCGTCCAGGGAGTCCTTGGATGATGGGCAGACACTTTTCGAGCACTTGAAGGGGCTTCTGTCGCTTGTCTCAGCTGGAAGTTCGGGACTCGGAGATCTCGGGGTTGCCGGGCAAAGGTGGAAGCGAAAGGCTGATGCGTCCATGGAGGCTTGCAGCTCTACTGCTCACTCCCATGTCGGTGCCGTGGCCCTCCGACGCTCCGGTTGAACCTCGCGCAAGCGTCCTTCTGCACCTACTCTTTTGGGATGAAAGTCACCACTGCGGACCAGCGTGCATTCCATGTAGGTTCCAACTTTCGCGAGTTCCGTGCCCGCTTGGCAAGGCCAGACGCTGCTCAGTTTGCAATCGTGCGTCGCCTTGCCATGTTGGCAAAATCGCATTGCAGGCTGCGTTTGCAGCATGCGTTTCACCTTGCCGAGCGGACAACTGCAATGCAGGCAAGCATGCAGCCGCTTGCCATGTGGACATCCGGCGCGCTGCATACAGTTTGCCTTTGCGCTCAAGCGCTACAGTTTGCGCAGGTTCAAAGGTTGTACGCTTGTACGCAGGTTCAACGCTTGCACAGAAGCGCCATTGCCAGGATTGCAATTATGCCCTCACGGCGAGTCAAAGCGAAGCTGTCGCACGTGTACTGAAGCAGGACAAGCAAAAGGGTGCGAATCCGGTGCGAACTTGCGAAGTGCCAAGGGAATCAGGCTTGGGGTCGGGTCGTTTGAATAGCTAGCAGCATGTTGCGTACATGTTGCAGCAGAGTGGCTTTTTTCAGGCTGAGCTGCGCCCGAATGTGGTTTCCTACAACGCGGCCATCAGCGCTTGTTCGGGACGCTGGGATTTGGCGCTGGCGCTTTTCAGGAAACTTTTCCAAAGCGGACTGCAGGCAGGAATCGGTGGGCAAGGGCGTGAGTTGATCCCCTGCAAATGCCAAAAAGGGGCTGCTCCAAAAAGGATATATTTGTACAAGTGTTTTTTTTTTTGTAGGGGTTCTATATTCACCTGCACGGGAGATGATTAGGCCAGGCCTTGCCTTTGAAACAATCAACACTGTACACTGGATCCATGCTTCATGCGTGGGTCATCATATTGTTTTGCGTACAGGCAGTGTTTCTGGGGCGGTACAAGGTGACAAGTATTCTGTGCAGACAGGAGCCGAGCTGTCCAGATAGTTGGGCGACAGCATGCATTGAGAACGAAGACTGGGTATCGTCAGGCTAGCAAAAGCATGGCTTTTGTTTGCCAAGCCGGCACCGATTTTGTTGGTTTATCCCTTTGTCAGGTATTCGCGAACTTGGCATGTCCACCTGACTCGCACTCATCACCCCCAGCTCTTTGTGATGTGTACCGATCATAACATCATCCCTGGTAATTACATTGTGTCCTTCTATCTGCATGAAGCCATCAAACGAGAACGCACCCAAGACCCCTGTTGGCCAATTTAGTAGGGGTTCTACTTTCGGGCTTGGTGGGGATTATAGAGGGATCAAAATAACTTTGACTTGTAACTTTGCAATTTTCAACCACAATGCGGGGTCTCACAACGAGGGAGCCTCAAAATGGTTGGTTTTTGTTTTCCCTTGTAAACCAACCGAATTCGGGTAGGTGATACTCATGTCTGGCTTCCAAACAAAAATGGTCCGGGTTTGGGATGCCCGCTCACGTGTCGACCGCGCCTGTCTTCACCTGGGCTGGGCAAATGTTGTTTCAACTGCCAAGCAGTCCGCTTCAAATTCAACTCAAAGGCGGGAGTCCAAGCAATAGTGGCTGACATCCCGTTTAAACAAGGGAGCCGTTGGCACCCTGCAGGCCACACTCATCACCTTCAACGCGCTGATTGCGTGTTTGCCCTGGGAGCTGGCGCTGGAGGTTTTGTCCTCGCTGCCACAACGAAACCTGAGGCCGAACAGGGGTGTAGAGGGAGGCTCCTGGGCGTGTGAGACAGACTATCTTTGCGGAGAGAGGCCGCGATCCGGATCGAGTCAGGGCCAACGAGATCTCCTACACCTCAGCGATCGGCGCCTGCGCAAGTGCAACCCTGAGAGCTCAAGGTTGCTCCGAGCCTTGAGATGAGGCCTCAAGAGTAGGAAACAAGGACGAATGAGCTTCGCTTTGCGTTGCCATGTTTCCTCCCCAGAGATTTCGGAGGCTGTATGCGCGTGTCCTCACGTGTTTGGGGCATGCGCTTCGGATCGGCATGAGGTCACTCGGAGAGCTGGGCGGCCGCACTCGCCCTTCTGTCCCAAATATCAGGCCCGTCGGTTTCGAAAGTGAAATGGCAACGAGAGCTCACACCCATGATAGAAGGTCGTATACTAGGAAATTCCATATTTCCAGTTTGGAAGCTATCGCATAGTACTTAGGTATTGTGCTGGTGAGCTGCTCAACACTTCAGAGCTTCTGCTGTCCTTGTTTCCCCTGCAATTGGTGGTCCTGACATCTCAACTTGACTTGCAGCGGAGGTAAAAGCTGCCAGCCAACGGGATCCACTGTTGCGTCATTGGGAAAAGTGAGATGTGGATGTCGTGCACGGTATTGCCTGTTACTACCCAGCACCTAGAGGCTTGATACAGACAGACCTTATTTGACAGTTTTCTCTCATTTGTTGGTGTGTTTGTGTGTGTCATTGATTTTGTGTTGCGTGTGGGTTCTGTCTCTTGAATCAAAGGTGCAACATGGAGTTGTCCCGCTCCAACGGTTGCATCGGGTCAGGTCCGGACCTGGTGGCCTACACCGCAGCCATCAGCTGCTGCGAGCGCCGCTGGCAGCAAGCGCTGCGTCTGCTGAAAGCGGCGCAAGGGCGAGGCCCGGGCCATGGGCCAGCCGCCCCATTGAGGTACTGGGGCAACCAAGTCTGGAGAAGAAGCAATGCGCGTATGTGTCAAAAGGGGGAAGTCGAGAAATGGTTCCTTGTTGGTTTCCTTTGAAAACAAAGTGACAGGGGTACCCTGGGTGCTGCCGGGCTCAGGCTGGCCGCTGTTTATGCTTTCCTGTTTCCAGAAGGGTCCGAACCTCGCAAAGCAGAGGATTCGGCTTCCGCCACCACAGGCCCGCCGCATCCGGGTTTTTACATATGCCAGGCCTGCAGCTGAACTTGATCATCTACAGCGCAGCCATCAACGCCTGCGAGAAAGGCGCGAAAGCGGGTCCGGGGGCACCGAACGAATCCGAACGACTTCGCTCATCAAACATCCATGAGGGTTGAGCTTTGTGACAGCAGTTTGAAGACACTCATCCGAGATGAACGAATGTGAGTGTCAGACAATGGTCTTTTACTCTGCGGTACACCCTGGTTGGTCCCCAATTTCAGCAGCGCCGGGAATCCTTCCGCTTGGGAGAATCCAATCGAATCGGCCAGGGGAGCAGTGGCAGAAGTCCCTTGAACTCCTGGAGCAACTTCCCCAGTCTTCAGTGGTGCCGAGCTGAGCAAAGCAAGCGAGCGGGGGGCAGAGAAGCCTGGGAGGGGCAGGGGTCGCCTTTGGAGCTGATAGATTCGCTGTGCACCATCGCTTATTTTGATGCCGTCCGCGGCTTTGTCTAGTCCCGTGCCCCATCTTCTCAACGCGCTCAAGCCCAATTCTGCGAAGTTGGCGTGTATGCGGGCTCCACTTCCGCGACTCGAGCCCTCTCTCTTGGGGCCAGAAGCGACCTGCACGAACAGGACCCACCCTTCAGTGCATCAACCTTTTGCACGTGTTATTTGTTTCAAGCACGTGTCCTCTCTAGCTATATGTCTTCTCCCCTCGATGCAAAACAGCATGCGTTGGCATGTCGACGGTTTGCCGATGCACGTTTCGGTTGCTTCCTTGGACCCAAGCCGGCGGGTGGATTCCCTAGATATTGCAAGTGAACCAACCACCTCCAGCCAGAAACTCCGAGTAAGTTGCGGCAAGACACAGAGTGTCCAACGTGCTCCCTTATTCCATATCATGAGTAGGTTGACTTTCTTGAGGCTCGGTGTCCGTCTTTGGGCTGTTCAAGTGGGAGGGGTTGTCCAAGAGGGAAACCAAAGGAATACCACCTGCGTTTTGTCTTTTGGGTCTGAGTTCCATTTTGAAGCACGTGCATGTTTGGGGAGACCAGCCAACGGTTCAATGGGAATTGGCTTGCAGTCGGGTGACCGCACTTGGCCCACCTCCCAATTTTGGTTTCAGCCCAAGCTCGCGAATCGGAAGCTGAAGATCCATAGGCTGACGCAACCCATGGGCGCGCACTACATTTGGGAGTTTCCGGAACCCCACTTTTTGAGACGACCACGTGGTTATACATGCCTTTCAAGGCCTCAGTATAGCCACTTAACCAGGACATAAATCCACCTTACCACTTGGAGTTCCCTCTTTTGAGACAAAGCCGAGTGAATATGACTTTCAACGGGGAGTACACGCAACAATGGTTGATGAGCATAAATCCCAACGTGTTTCTGATGCTCACCAACGAGCCCCAAGTTACGTTCTTTGGAGAAACCGCAAGCGGCAAACATTCCTCGGAGTTTTACTTTCTGAAAAGGATCCCTGCAAAGAATGCGTGGGGTTATATCTTAAGGCCTCACTGACTCACAATCCCTTGCACTTGGAGTTCTCCAGACAAACCCCATGTTCACGGGCGGAAGTACAGCTCGAATTTTGGGGAGGTCTCCCCCCCCGTCACCAGCGCCATGTCAGGTGCCCTTCAACGCGGCGTTGAGCGCCTGCGAGAGTTCTTGCGCCTGGCAGCACGTGCTGGCCGTGTTGCATCGCATGCCCGCGGCAGGCCTGCGGGGGGGCTTTGGGTGACGTTTGTGGGGGGAGTCGCCGAGAAATCTGGGCCGTCTTTGGCACTCAACGTGAGTGTGAACAGAGACCGCCTGTTCGGGGTGAGGATTTGTGGCCCTTTTTGGGCCAAAAAGGGGCATGTGAGTCGGTGAAAAAGGATTGGAGGACATGGCGGGTGTACACAAACATCAGGCGAACTGAGCCCCGCTTTTTTGACGCTCCTTTGTAACTTTCTTTGGGTTCATGTTGGTTTGCCTCCAAATATGGGAACTCCGGGTTGCAAACCACCTGCTTCCAAAAGGGTACCCACAAAACATACACCCATGCGGCATTGTCGGTGCTATGATGTTAGTGTTGACATGATGTAGTTACTGCTCAGTGGTTTTGATTATGCTCACTCTGGTGACTTGACTTGCTCTCTGTACAGTGTATGACCCATACATTGGTCGCCAGGCTTGCTTGAGGTGAAGATGTTGTTTCATCGCCTGTGATTATTTTTTGCTCTTGTCGCAGGGCTCCAATTGCTTTGGTTCATTGTGGTTCTTCTTGTTTACTTTGGTCATTGCAAGCAGTCAGAAAGAACAAGTGGAGGTTCTGGCCTGTGCAGGCCCTCCCTTCGAATGTTACATCCCCCGCCTGGCGTCTCAAGCTCCACGATGCGATTCTGGTGGTTTGATGGTTCGTGTAGGCTGGACATCCTTGAGTTTGGAAGCTCTAGACCAAAATGACCATCAGCAGGCTGTTGGTTGATGTGTCAGGCAACCATCTCTTGGTCTTTTCCCTCGAGGGTAAACGCTTCAAAAGAAATAGGTTCCCTTTTTCTCTCGAGTCACTGGTTGCAAGATTCGGGTCACTGGTTGCAAGTGGGGGCTAGAAAAAACTGTGGGAATCAAGCTACCGGCAGGCCCGGGGGGTCATTTGGGTTCTATCAGACCATGCAGAGAAACCTAGTGCTTGCTTTTGGGGTATCCTCCATGTTAGGGTGCTTAGCATACCCCATTTGGATGCTTTCGGCGTGTTTTGGGTCATCACAGGGACGCTTCTGATGGCATCGGTGGCCTAGAGGCATGGTGTTGCACGTTAGACATCCTGACTTGGCTCCCCGGATTCTAATGAACACTCTTCAAATCAGTCAGCGTAGTCAGCGCGACCCAACAGTTGCTGTGCTTGTTCTATGCATCAACCGATGTGCTGGAGGCGTGCCGGCGGACTCCATTAGCCTCAGCATTGCTATACGCGCTTGCAACAAGTGCAGGAGCCTCAAAAGCGCTTTTGGATGCGCATTGCTCAAAGCAACCCCTCCTGCCTTCTGCTACAATGGTCTGCAACACGTTGGTGGCTTTTATCATGCGAGACTTTGGCAAGATGGAACAGCTGTTTATATCAGAACACACGTGGGAGAGGCCACATGGGAATATATCAAAATCGTGAATCACGTTTGTGTGGAGGACCGGACAAAAGGGCACGGACATGAAGTCAACCATTCGGAGATATTCGGAGGGCCCCAATTTTTGGCGAGCTACAGCACGTGCACAGTGGAAAACGGGTGCCACCAACTGGCTGCTCTGAGGCTCACGTTGGCAGCAAGTTTTGTCACTTCTTGGACATCTATGGCACTGCACCCTGGCGCTACCGGGTGCACGGGCTCTTTTAGTGGGCTTTCTGATGTGCGAGCCATGGGGGAGGGTGGGGAAATGAGCGGTGCCAACTGGGGGCGTGGTCTCAACCGGAGACACATTGGTCCTACCCCACGAATTGGGGAGGTTTGTGCAGCCCTACCCGACCCTAGTTATCAACAGGCCAGCTGCGACTTTTGCCTCATCCGAGAATGTACAGCTTGTGTTAGTAGCATCCCGAAACTCTGGTCTTACAACCACTTCTTGTTTAAATGATTGGACATATTCGGGATTCTAGAGGCTTTGTGAAGGGTACATGGAATAAACAGCACTTGGAGGGGTATAGATCCATGAGCATCACTGGGGCGTACTTCCAAAGACGGCACCTTTTGGCCTTGGGCGCCCAGGCCGTCTGCAGCTGGACATCGCCACCTGCAGCTTTTGCGTCAGTGCCTGCAGCTCGACCTAAAGTTGGCCAGGCATGGCCCTTGCGCCCATGCGCCCACGGGCAGCGATTTGGAAGACTTGCGTGATTTGCAGGAGCACGTGGGACCACTTTGATTCGTGAATCGCTTTCCTTGACAAGCCTAATTAGTGGAGAGTGCTTTGAGATTTTGGACAGCTTGCAGCAGAACTCCCCCAGCCCAGGTGAGACGGGCGATCTGAGGAAACCGGTTCCAGCTTTGCTTGCAGCCGAGGGAAGCGCCGGAACCTCCATCCTGAGAGTAAAAATGAGAATGCTGCACTGACGCACATAGCAAAAAAGGTTTCCTGCACCCCTTCTTGGACCATCTTTGGAGGGCGGCTCTACACAATGGGGTGGCCATGCAACGCCGGGCTTCAACGTCGCTTCAAGCGTTAGCAGGCGCAAAGGAAGAGAAACCACGGCCAAGCCTTCCAAGCCGAAACCACAAAGCTCACATGAGCAACTGATGAAATCACGTGACGAGGAGCGGGCCCCGATTTTCCCATGTCCTCCTTTGGAATTAAGTTTTTTTTTGTCAAATACCCTAAATCTAGCAGAAGCTTAAAGGACAGTGCTTTCCCACCAGGGCTTCCTATACACCTGCCATGGTGCCTCTATGAGCAATGGCAGAAACAGCACGAAGGCCTCTACAAGGCTGGCGTGGCAAGAGTCTATCGCGGCCTGGCATAATCTGTATGTAGACGGAGGCAGCTGCCTAATTCAGACCTCATGTGGGAGTGGGTAAGGTTCGTAGTGTTCTTGCCGTCCTTTCCCCATTTGAGAACGGAACGCACTACTGCCCCTCGACAAACGGCTGGTGAATACAGAGATGCAAGAGGCAACATGAATCAGACACGCTGGCAGCTGTTCAACTGTTCACAAAAGCCTTTTCCCATGTCACTGGCTCCGGAGCAGATTCTGGCAGATGCCGGCGTGTTTTGAGCCAGGAGCAAAGCCACCATCGCCCCGCCTGAGGCTGTGCTTCCGCCGCGGCGGGCGCTCAGCCTGGTGGGTCGAGGCCATGAAGCCGGACAAAAGTTTCAAACGGAAACCAATAGACAGGCCACTTTTGTTTGGCGTTTGAGATGCCAATGCGCTTCAATGGATGGTGGCTTGTGGTCCGGACTTTTGGCATAGCTGGCACTGCGATTTCATGGTTCACAGTTGGCGGGGCAAACGTGAGGAAGCTTGTGGTTGCAGTGGGTGCAGCGCATGTGTGAATTGCATTGAACCTTGTCATGGACTTGTGTGGAAATGTTGCACATATGTCCCGCACCGATGTGCAGAGATGATCATGGGCTTTCTTGGATTTAGACAATCAAAACGTTGCAAGGGGTTCTAGCAAAATAACTATAATTGTGACCCTGACACCATGGCACATGCATTTATGATGCTTTTCGATGCTTGCCCCCGGCCCTCCCCCTAATAACCCAACCACGTGAGGCGCCAAATGGCCAGAGACGCAGCGCCTCTTGGCGCAACTGCGGCGCGCGAGGGAGGGCACCGCGATCGCCTTCAGCATCGCAATCACCGCCTGCGAGAAAGGCACTTGGCCTGGGGCTGGGTTGGGTTGGGTGGGTGGTTGCACAAGTTGTTTGAACAACTGAGTAACCAGTTGCCCTAGGGCTTGTTAGAACATGGGGCAAAGCCCTCCAAATGACTGAATTTATCACGCCAACTTCCACCATGACCATCAGGCATAATTTTGACCATACCCCTCCCGCTTTGATCTTTGGTTCAGGCGAAGCCTGGCAGCAGGCGCTGCTTTTGCTGCAAGCCCTGCGCAGCGATGGCTTGGGCCCCAACTTTTGAAACCAGGGTTTCGTATTTTTTCTGAACAGCCAGACCCCGGTCAGACTTAAAGTGAACCCCAAAGGCTTCTTGATATGCTGGCAAAACATCTTTGAAGAGAGTAGCAGCCAGGGCAAATCACGGACGCGGTGGCTGAAAGCTACCGCACAGCATGAATCAGAGTGCAGGGTCTGAGCTCTGCAGGAGGTGCAGCTTGGCGAACCCTGAAAATCTGAATCACGTGTGGTGGCTTGTGCGGTAAGACTGACAGGATTGCACGCATTTGGCATTTGGTTTGGTTTGGATTTGGTTTGGTTTGGATTTGGTTGCTTTGCACACTGCGTGAGCATCTTGTTGCATGTCACAGTGCATGTCCTGAAGCCAGGGGCACCGGGCCCCTGTGATTTGTCTGGACCATGATTTGGTGGTTTGAACCATTCTTGCAACCACCCCAAGTACCAACTCGACAGCCAGCCCTGGAGGGGGAACCCGCCGAGCTTCCGGAAGTCCCGGGAGAAGCGTCCGCGCGCCTTTCGTTTTGCCCGCGGATCCGTCCGAGGGCTCTGCCCGGACTTGGTGCTGCTGGGGGCGCTGTGCAACGCCCGCTGGCGCCAAGCGCAGCTGCTGCTCTCAGGCTCGAGGGGCGAAATGGTGAGGCCCCTGCTTCAGATGGTGAGGTAACAACGCCAAACATGGGGTAGCAATGCTGAGAAAAGGGTAAAGCATCGTGGCAAAACCAAAAACAGAGCCCTCGAAATCCGAAAGGGATTCTCGCCTGCCTCTTCTGGCTTGCCCCAGGCTTTGAAACTGAAGCCTCTTCTCAGCATTTCTTGTGCCTGCTGAGGAAGCAACGACTGGCTAGCCATGTGGAACAGATACGAGGGCCCAACCCAGTGTAGCTTGCTGCCCCACGCGTAGGAGGAGGCCCACTCTTGCTTGGACGCTTTTCCCTTCTGTTTTAAGACATGGGGGTAGGTCAAAGGGATGACCAAACCAAGGTCGTGAATTTGTGCCATCGGCTACTTTCACTCAAATCAAGCAGGCAAGAGGAATCCACCTTCCTTGAATGGAGTTCGGAATGCCACTCACCCTGCGTTTGTTTTTTGCGCCCCGAAAGGTGTGCAGCCTGACATTGTCATGCGCACCGCTGCCATCAGCGCCTGTGAGAAGAGTACGCAACTCAGTGGAATCGAGGCGAAACTAGGATTTCAACTAGACAGCGGGGTTCCTGAGCAAAGGAAAAGTTAAACCCAGAGGCCTAAACTGGGTTCAAAATCAATCTGCAAGATCCTCATGCGAGATGGGAATTCCACGGGAACTTAGCATACCAAATCAGAGTTTTGTTCTAATTTCCAGTGGAATTCGGTAGATGGCTTCTTAGACTAGACAACACATCGGAAGACCACCCCAAAATGAGATGGTTCCTGTTGGTTTCCCTTTATTCGTTCTTTTCAAAACTTGGAGTGTGGGAAGCTCCTGCAGATTAGCATGGAGCACGAACAACAATGGTTTTGAGCGCAGTCTGAAGTACAAACTGCTGCTGACATGATGTCTGTCTTCCTGACCATGGTGATATGATAGATATGCTTTAAGCAGTTGTCTGAAATTACCATCAGGAATGCACAGCAATCAGAGGTTGCTCATTGAAGTGAGCCGCAAAACTTTCACATCACAGGTCACACGACCACGGCACAACCTCAACATTCAAATTCAGCACAAGCCCAGCTGGCGCAGAGAAGCGCTAGAGGGAGGGGAGCCATCAAAGTCGATACATTCTATGATGCACTTGCTGCCCTGTTGCTTTTAAGCGAAGTGTGTTGCGCTTTCTGCCCTGCTTCCGGGTTTGGGATTGCATTGCTTGGCACGCCTTGATGCCCAAAGGTTCACCTTGTTCAGCTTCGCCTTCCACTCAGTGTTCCCTGCATTATGCTTTTGGTCAATTTGGACCTCAACTTTTGTGCCTTGAGAACACCCGCTTTCTTTTGGTGTGCTGCTTTGAAAACGGACATATGGGGGTGTCTGTTGAAAAGGAATGAACATGACAACGGAGCCCAAAAAGGTCGGTCTCTGTCAAGAAGCAGCCAGCTTTTGTCCAGTTCCTTTAAAGGAAGCCAAGAGGCTGTTCAAAGGCGTGCTACATGTTAGCATCCGAAAGTTGCCTCTAGATATCATATCCCCACTGCAGCATTGATGCTCCATTGGTCGACGTTAGGGCTTGAATCGCCGGCGTTTTTCAGGCAATGGCGCCAAGCTCTGCGCCTGTCGCCGCTTCCAAAGATCACCGCGGCCAGCAGCGCCGCAGCCTCCGCGGCGGGGGCGGCCAAAGCCTGGGCCCACGCGCTGCAGTTGGCTCTCGCCCGGGCCTCAAAAGCGGCAGCACCCGTGGACCCCGAAACATGTCGGGGTTTCCGAAGTTTCATGATTGGTTTGCTTGTTAGAAGCCAAGAGACCAAATATAATGAGAAGGAATTTAATTTTGTGTCCCTGACATCATAGAAGGTGGTTTCAGAGCCCTGGACATCGGGACCCGGACCCTTTGACACGTTTTGAGGGGACTCGTTCGTTTTTGGTGTTGGTTTTCGATTACCATGCCTGTTTTAGGGCTAAGCAAAAGGGTAAAATGGAGGTCAACAAACAGGTCTGGGTTTATTCGGCCCATATAATATCAGTCGGAGCACTCTAAACAGAGGCATGAAAAGAAAAGAGGGCCCTGGTTCAGCTGCCCTGGTGCCCTTTGATTGGGCTATATACAAGCCCGCTTTGGAAGAAGCCCTCAATCTGCCCCTTGACATGTTGCAACTTGCGCGTGTCTCCTTCACCAGCTGTCGGGAACCATGGTTTTTACCATGGAAGCATTCGCTTGTAGTCGCAGGCCCCAGCCTGGAGGCCTTCCACATTTGAGCCCTAGGTGTTTGTTGCTGTCTTTTACTTCCTACGATTCATTCATACGCCCCAGGTTGAAAGGAGGGTGTCCCAGCTACGTAAGAAAAAGACCTTCACTTTTTCAACTGTCAGGGGGGATGCGTTTCTTGTTGCCAAAGCCCCGGCAATAGATCGCTTCGTTCTATCCAAGTATGAGCCGGAGTGTGCAAGTCACAAACCAATCGGCAGGTGTTTTGTTTTTGTTGAGGGTCCAATCCAGCTGTCAAAGGACTATGACCACGTGCCCTTCTCCCACGAACATAGCCACTGGAGGATACCTGGAAGACCAAATTGCTGTCCTGAGCCTGGCCTTCCCATCGGCTTAGAAGATTCCATCGAGAACATGGCAATTTGTTTATCAACGCATCAACGAGATGAGCTTGAAGGTTTCCACGCACCGGGAAGTTTTCTTGACACCGGACTCTCGTGGTTTGCCATTTGGTGGGGTCAACCAGGCCCTTTGGGTTCTCGAGCCAGAGAGCCCTCGCTCAAAGCAAGTAGTACCCTCAAAGGGCCGGGCGTGGGCCAGAAAACCTTCGCACCAATCATCAAAACCAGAGAAAAACACGGCCCGTTTGGGTAACTGTCAAAATAGGGATAGAATAGGGATTCGCTCTTCCAACAGTGGTGGTTTTCCTTTGGTTTCCCTTTACACCAACCTAAAAAGGACCTCCAACAGCTGTAAAAGCCCGTTTCCCAGCCGGTTTGCCAGGGAGCTCCACTGGACATAGCCTTCCACGACGCCCTGTTGAGCGCTTCTGAGAAAGCTGGGCAGTGGCAGCAAGCGCTGCGCCTTGGAGCGTGCGAGGGGGGGTGGTGCGCAGTGGGGGGGGGGGTGGACCTTGGGTGTTCAACGGCACGTATGAGTGTGTCGTTTTTGCGGACCTCTTTTTGATGGGCTTCAAAGGGAAACCAAAAGAACACCAACCATTTTGAGGGCTCCTTGACTTCCCAAAGGGATGACGCTGTTTTTGTATTGTCCAGATTCTTTTTTTCAAGCACCCAGCTCTTTGGTTAGAAGTTTGAATCGGGCTAAGAGGATTATCATCGGAGGCAGCCTCAAGCTAGCGTTTGAGAGTAGCAATGGAGCGCACTTGAGAGAGGGGAACCCCCGGACAGTGCCTTTGGATCCTTGGTTTTTTTGTAAGGAGTGAGGCAGGTCATTTCCGATGAACCCAGGATATATTGTTAACATTCGCTGGTGTCTGCCAGCATGCTGAGCATTTACATTTTGGGCCTTGTCATCGTAGAAGCCGTTGTGTCGAAAGAGTCCTTGCCAGCTGCAAGGTCTTTCTCACTGTGCACCCAGTAGCCTGATTGAGGCCTGGCTGCTTGCTAGCTTTGGTAGATTTGTCTGTGCATCGATGCTGCTTGCGGCAGTCGGGTGTTCGGTTGACCATTTTTATTGCTGAAAGCGAGTTTCAGGTTCATCAGCGGACGGTACGCAAGCATGACCGTACACAAGCATGCAAGACTCAGACACGTACCGGCAAGCCAATTCCACTGGCGCTGTGAATGCTAAGCACTGATTTGGTTTGTTTGTATGAAGTACTTCCTCTTTTTGTATAGCTCAATCTGTTACCACTTAGGGGGAGGCTTGCAGTTGGTTGTCTAGGCTGGAAGGAAAAATGCAAAAGGAACCATTCGCTGCGTCTGTTGGGTTAGCTCGGCTGCTTGGTTCAGTTTGTGCTTCGCGGCAATTGGTCTAGTGTACTCATGGAGCTGTTCAGCGGGACATGGTAAGGACACATCCCGCGTTACAAGGGGCTAAAGAGTTACGCAACTTGTTTGAGGTAATGATTAGGGGGCTGAAGAGTTACATTAGTTGGTCTTAACCCTGCCATGATTTAGTTTAACTGAACTCCCATGTTCTTAATCATTTCTCACGATGCATCTCCTGGCCAAAGGCACCTCTTTGCGCGGCTGCCCGTGTCACGGGCATCGCCGGGCCTCATCTCCTGCAACGCCTTGGTCAGCGCTTGCGGCGCCCGGGAGAGGTGGGAGTGCCTCGACCTATGGGAACAGGAGGGGATGCAGTTTTTGATCATTTCGGCACCCGCGGCCTGCTGCAGACGCTTTGTTTCTTTGTTTGTTGGTTTGCCGCCAAATGGGGCGACTGCGTTGCCTGTTGACTGTGTTGCAAGGTTCGCGCTGCAAGCCTTTGCGCGCTTGAGCCGCCCGAGCGTGGTGAGCTACGGTGCTGCACTCAGTGCCTTTGAGGAGGCTGGACAGTGGCAGCAGGCAGTGTGGCTTTTGACAGATGCGCTGCTTGACAGCAAGTGAGGACTATGAGACAGCATCAAGCTATTTGATTTGTTGTTAGTCTTGAAGCAGCTCATCAAAATGATTTTGCCGAGAAGCTTCAACATGGTGCCCCATGCCTACTGCTCTGCCAAAAGACGCCTCATGATTATTGCGGTGTATGACGGACGTTAAGCTTGGATTGATCAATTGGACCAACTTTCTCTGCTTTCAAGGTCTGACACAGAGGAACGAGCCGGAAGTGCGCATGCAATGTCTTATTGCTTCGTTCAGAATTTGGGACCTGACGCCATCATTTCATGTCATTTAGATGCCTAAAGCCGAAGGCGACGCCTTCACAGCTCTTACCCCTGAGGATCAGGATCACGGTGCAGGTGAACGTCATTTGTTTCAATGCTGTCATCAGCGCGTGCGAGCAAGGACCGCTATAGTCACTGGCAAGTCATGAGTGTGTGTGTGTGTGTTTATTTCTTTCTTTCTTTCTTTCTTTCTTTCTTTCTTTCTTTCTTTTTTTCATTGTTTCTTTGTTTCTTTGTTTGTTTGTTTGTTTGTTTGTTTGTTTGTTTGTGTGTGTTGTTTGTTTGTGTTCCCTTTCTGGTTTGGGACGAGACATGTTTCCAGAGATCCGATGCCTTGCTCCAGGAGTCCAGTGGCTCAGAGCAGCTCAGCTTCTGCTTCTGCTGACGAACTTGCAACTGGAAGGTGATGTGGTGACTCACACGGCCGCGGCGCGGCCGAGAGTTGCTTTCAGCGGACAGCTCTCGCTTTCTGGGCGGGGGCAGGGTTAGGCCAACCCCTTGTCTAAACATGCTTTAGAATGATTGTTTCAACATTGCTTGAGAATTTCTTGCAAGGGGATCAGTGTCTGGTGGTTCCAACCAACTTTGCCCCGCAGAGTTTGAACAGTCGAGGTGATTGGTGCCTGTGCTCTTGCCAGCCGCTGGAGCTTGGCGCTGGCCCACTTCGAGGAGATGCAGAGGCCCTTGGCCTCGGGGTTCGGGGCCAGGCTTTCAGCTGAAGCTGTGGGGGCTTCTCAAAATGGTCCCCTAAAATGGGTGGGTTCCTTTTGGTATCCCCTTAAATACCAACTAAATTCGATACCAACATGCCAACCGACAGGGGCCACCATTTTGAGAAACGCTCTTTTTTATTGTCGGCGCAGTATTTATCTTGTTGTTTTTGATATGCAGCATCAGCACGTGGAGGCAATATGGATGATGGATGATTGCACGCCTGCTTCGTTTTACGAGGCGATTGTCCTACGCTACAGGCAGATGATCGTGCCGCTTTGAGGGAGCAGAGATTCGTTTCCTCGCAATGTAGAAACTGCGACTTCCCCACGCCCCGACACGCACAAAAGCCGAGCCGCGTCGAGGTGGTCCAGGCCCAACGCCCAGACCTTCGCCGCGGCGCTGCTCGCCTGCTCCTTGCCCGCGGGGCCGGAGCCCCGAGGTGCGCGCCGGGCCGCGGAGCTGCTGCCGCGGCTGAAGCGGGCGGCACTCCGAAGGATTCGAGCGGCGAAAGCGCGGCGCGAAAGGTCGAGTCACACGCGGCAAGGCTTCAAGGGGACACCCGGCCTCGTTCCAAACTTTCTTTTTGATTCCCAACATCAAGTACCAAAAAAGGGATGTCCATTTTGTCCCATGGGCACTGGGGGGTTTGGGGGGGGGACAGAGGGGACACAACTCACAACAATAGTTGTTGGACCCCGTTGCAGGTGCTTGGAAACACTGGGGACCTTGACACTGACTTGAGTGTATTATGCTTGTCAAAACCCTGTGGACATCATTGACGGGAGCATGTCTGTTCACCCAGCATTGAGTTGAATTTATAGACTTTTGCTTGATGCACCAATTCAAGAGCCGTGCCTCATCGCACATAATTCTCAAAGGATTGGGAAGCTTGGACGACTCGAATTGCGAGAGTTGCTTGGTTTGCGGTGGCTGAGCAGAAGCAACCCGTTGTGATTCGACGATTACGCTGCATTCACAGGAAGCGACCAAGAAAATATTGTGGTGCCGAAACATCCGGGTTGGCTGACCCTTTGTGTTGACATGCTTGAACCCTAGAAGCCAGCTTCTTTTGGTTCCTTGGATAGCTGGCCAGGGCTTAAACAAGTTTTGCCCAAGCCCAAAGACAAAGCCCCATGGCTTGACCTCGGCGCCTCCGGACTGTGCTATGGCATGCATGGCGCGCCTCGCCGGCGTGCGGAGTGGGATGTGGCCCTGCACAGGAGCGAGGGATTGCGTGAGGGGCAGGAGGCCCACCCCTTGGTCACCGAAAGGAAACCTTTGGTTCAAAAGAAGGACGTCCTTTTGTTCTCCGAAGGAAACCAGCTGGGAATGGGGCTCCAAGCGGCGAGAACCGACATGTCGCGTTCGGTCAGCTCTGGTAGCATGTTCTACGTTCAGGTGGTTTTAGAAAGGCATGGTAGGTGTGCACCCTGGAACTTAGCTGACAAGTATGTTTGGATAAGAACGAAGTTGGTCAGTGGCTTTCTTGCCAAAGGCTTGCAAGCACTTTTCGGCTTTGCCCTCACAAGCAATGCAGCCCCTTTCCAAGGGGACCTTGCCAGGCTCGGATGTGCGAGAAGTGCGCCAGATGTTGTGGATTTCAACGCTGTCATCAGCGCGACTTGGACGACAAGAACCTTGTAGCAGACCAAAGCGCAACATGCGACATACTTTTGAATGATGCAAGGGGTCGAAGGATCAAGCACCGAAAGTTCTTTTTTTCCTCCGATACACTCACCGTTCTTCAGCGCTCATCCCTGGCGAAGGAGGCTGTGATTCTCCTCTTGAGGGCTTCACCACATCTACGGAGCGCAGCCAAGTCGCGAACGCCAGAAAAGGCCTAAAATAGCACAAGCGCAGCCAGCGGAGGCCCTCAAAGGCAAGTCGCTGTGGGCTCCTTGTCCCCTGTAAACATCAGCCACGAAAGTTGATGGTCAAATGACCCAACACATGATGGTGTTAACTCACCCAAGGGGGACACCGGAAATTAATGTCCACCTCATATTTAGAACCCCCCCCCCCCACCCCCCTAAGGTCGTACTCAGGGGGGCCTGCAATTAGAAGCTTCCGGCGGATCCCGGAGATTCCTTACCTGGCTGTTTCGCTTTCAGTCACGCACTAGGAGCTGAGCCTTTTTTTGGGATTTCCTGGGCCAAGCCGGATTGTGCAAATACGGGGGGGGTTTCTAAATATGTTCTGGGATTTGGATTGTGCAAATACGCGGGGGTTTCTAAATATGAGGTCAACATTAGCCCCAAAGACCCAGGAAAGGAAATCCACCCCAAAGACCACAGGGGTCCAAGTCCCCAGCAAGATGGAACTCAGAAAGCCATTAAAATGCCATGCTGGGGGACACGTTTCGGTTGTTTTCTGGTAGACCCATTCAACGGGGTGAACTTGTGTATCCGAAAGCAACGCATTTGCAACCCCTTGGGCGTCCAGCTAAAGTATCTCAACTGGCTTCATAATTTGTAGGGCGTCAATCCCAAGGATCGACCCAAATGTTTCGGATCCACCTCCGCCATCCCCACCCTCTTAAAAATGGATTTGGGGAGGGGGGTGACCCCTGGAATTCCATTGTGGTTCCATTTTCTCATTTGTGGGGGAGACCAGATCATGGAATTGGGGACCCCCCACCCCCCTCCTCCTGAAGGTAGGGGGGTTCCTCCGCCAATCCCATGGATCCCATTTGGCTCGCCGGATCCGACGCCGTAGGCGGGTCCTTGGCCGCACTCCCAGCAGCTCCTCGCGCGCCTGGGGAGCCTCCAGCAGCGGCCCAGCATCGTCAGCTTCAACGCGGCGGCGGCGGCCTGTGGCCGAGGCCGCGCTGCGGCCATTCGAAATGTGCCGCAAATGTAGGAGTATCCCTGAAAGTGAGAATGTCGCGAAAAATCAAAGCAACCTGTTTGTTAGCACAGAAAGATGACAGAAAGGGTTACAAGCCCCGCAAACCCCATGTAGGAGGCGTACTACCCATGTTTAACCAAACAGAGGTGGCCAGTGGAGGCTGGAAGGATGTTTGGAGTCGGGTATTGGGAAATGGACCCTTATGGAAAATCCACCCGACAATTGACGCCTGGAACCACGCAGCATTGAACGGAACCTCCAATGGACCCAGTTGCAGGACAAGAAGCTTATGATGGCTAAGTGGATCCACGAGGGAAGTTTAGGGTCCCCGAACGCTACAGCCGCGGCCCGAGAAATTCGCCAGCTGCGAGATCGGAGGGGAATGATTTAAATGGGTTTGTGTTGTGTATGGTTGGAACACCCTCCAAAATGGCAGGAAATAACCCCTTATGTATTTCCGATGTCCACCAAAGGGCCCGTTTGATTTTTATCAATATTGCACCATCGGCGCGAGTCACTGCTTTTCGAACATTAAGTCAGAAGTTTCGCTGCATTGGCGCGGACTGGGTGCCCTGTAGCGACTGGGGGACCTGCCAACCGTTGCCATGGAACCCAACTGGACTGGTGGACTCTTTTTTGTCTCGAACACCTCTGGTGGGTTCCATGATGGCGGAGATTGTGAGTGAATCATCCATCTGACATTTTTGGGATGGCGCGCAAGGCTGGAATGGTTTTGCAATGTATTTCGTGCCACACTGGTCAAGCAGCCTGACCGTCGTGCATGTCGTTGAACCAGTCAGGCAATCACTGGAGCAGCTCAATCCAGCTGCTTACCTTGCATCAGTGAACCGGGACGGGCCAAGGTTCAGATTTGAGGTGAGGTCAACATATCCAGTCTATGGTCCATGTAGGAGGGACATGAAGGACTCACTATATTTCCGACAAATCAGAGGTTGATGAGCCGCTCTCCCATCCAATTCTATATTTTGACCATGGCTCAGCTCAATATTTAGAGGCCTTTCTTGCATACCGTCCTACAGTTGCATAGGCTTTGCCAAGAAATAGAACCCTTAGGTGTTCCAAAGGAATCAGTTGGAGCCATTTGGGCTCAATGAAAGACATGTTTGCTTTTGTGACATTTGCAGCTTTACAGTCTGAAGCTCTTGGAGACCTTTGCCGGGCTCAATGTAGCTGCAGCCGAACAGCATCGATTTCACCAATTTGTCAGTCTTATTGGGCAAGATCGATTGGAAACTGAGCCAATGGCGTGAAGTATGACACACAGAACCTCTCTTCCAGCCAGAAGAGTCAGCATGTTCCTTTGGAAGCTCACACCTCAGGTGCGTGGCGGACGCAGCTGCGGGATACCTACAGCCAGACTTGCTGACGCTGACACCCCTCATGAAATGCAGGGCAGGCGGGCGAGTCGTACTCAGGTATCACGGTGGAATGAGCGTCTTTGAGTCCGATAGAAGAAACGGACCAACAGGACGAGGTCAAGGGCGCTTGGAAGGTTTGTTCGCGTGAAATAGCCTTGCTACAATCTGTAAGTGCTGCTTGGATCGGTCTCCGACCCCCAACTCATCAACTTCCCCTTTGTGCGCATGCTCAGACCTCCCAAAATTGCTGCCTTTCGTGTTGTGGAGAGGGTTGCCCTCAGAATCAACAGCCAAACGCAGGGCCCCGTTTTTGTCGCGCCGCTTGAGAGGTGACCGCTGGCCCGCGGCCTTCACCGTGCTTGCGCTGGCACGGCGATCCTTGCTCCGCGGCTTGGCATCGGTTTTTCCCGTGTTTTCCCCCCCCCCCCCGCAAAACCGATATGACCAGCTAGGAGCTTCTTTTTTTTAACGATCCGGGGGTAAAATGAGCGGCGGCCTTCATGAAGGTTGCTCACTTCTGGGGATTCAGTGTTCCAATTTGTGAAGTAATGATATAGCAATTTGCTCAGATCTGTAGAAAGCCGAAGTGAAGAACATGTTGCACCATATTTCCAGTTTTGTGAATTGTAAATCAAGTTCGCCTGGTTTGGGCCCCTGTCAAGTTCAATGGCACCTCGCGGCAAAAACGAGCCTGTTCTGCTGGAAGCTCGACACTGTGCCTTGGGATTGGATGCAAGTTTGTGACAGACTCCACGGAGAAGGAAACTCTGGAGTCGCGGCAGTTCTGACGAGCCCCCCTTAGAGCCTTTCTTGGAAACCCACCGCACAGGTCGCGTTCTACCCCAGGAGCCTGGAAGCCCTGTTCTGCTCCAAAGAGCAGTCCTGCCCAGAATGTGCCCTTGTTCTTTTGCTGCCCCTGAATTCACCGACTCTTCTAAGATTTTCTTGTGCTTGTGTCTCATGGCCCAATTCAATGCCGTAAGGAGCGCACTCTTTGCTGCCGGCAATAGACAAGCTCATGCACATCTCTTCGTCCGAGAAGTCTTTGTCGACCTGGACTTGATCAGTATTCGGCTGTTTTGACACAGACCTAGGTTTGGTGATTTTGGGTAAGCCGGTTGAGTCATGTATGTAATTATGCGTATGTGTGTGGGTAATCACAAGGGGTATTGAATTTGTTTTGATCTCTCCCTCTCTCAACATTGTCATTGCATTTGTAGATGTGTCAGGCTATGTCATGTACACCAAGCTCTGCCTTTTTGCCCAAAGACAAGCTTCCTCTCTGAACGCGTTCTTTTTGGGAGCACTTGGCTTATCACCGGCTAGCTGCTTTTGTTTGGTGAACCCTGGGGCTAGCGGTTTGGAGGTAATGGAGTTGAGGAGGGCTCAAAATTGGGCCCCTCTACAAACTTGGGTTGCGTTTCTTCGGGTTGCCTGATCAGACATCCCCTACTTCACCTGTTCCTTAGATGGCTCATTGTTTAGTTATTCCCTTTGCTTACCCACGTCTACCCGGAATCCTGTCGTGTACCTCCTCATTCCCGAGGACTGGATGAGGTGCTTCTCAGCGCCGCGACGGGCGCAGAGTGGCGCCGGGGCATATCGTGCCTGCAGATCTTGGGCCAAATGCCGCAGGAGCAAAGAGCAGACAGGCCCAGGCTCATTTTATCCTTGCTTTCGTTCCTTGCGTCGATGTATAGTTCATCAGGCCCCCTGGCTATCAAACGGTTTTGGGTGCAATCTGGCGGGGGCATTGGACAGCCATTGGGGAGGGGGCTGGACATCATTTGAAGGTATGCATATTTTGCCTCTCGTTCACATTGCACTCATTTGACATGTGGCTCACGTGGCCATTTAGGGGGAAACGATGAGGTGGACATTGGGGGGTCGGGAGATTGGCAAAAGCGGGTAGATGCAAACTCGTTTCAAGCAGGCCATGGATTCCAATTGGAATACCCTCAATGGATAGATATGATTCCAACCACAAGTGCTCTGATCCACTTCACGGGTGCCCAACTCAAGTTGGGCATCTTGTGTTTTTAGGTTTCTCTTCGTGTTCTTTTTTGTCCTTGTGCCCACTTGCCCGCAACTCGCCGTCGAATTGCGCCGCGAAGGACCTGCCGTGCCTCGCGAAGGAAATGCCCTGGGAAGCGTCTCTGGAGCCCTTGAGCAGCCGCGCCTTGGGCGCTTCGGTGGCTGCCTGTGCCGCAGGAAGTGCCCGTTCGGGGTTAAAATGGCGAGGGCTTCCGTCGCTTGCGGCTTTTTTCCCCAGCTCTGGCTGGTTTTGGGGCCAAAAAGTCTGGAAAGGAGCGGCAACTTGGCTATCCAGGAAGTGGCATGAAGGATGAATTTGCCCTAAGTTGCAACAGGATGTGGGGAGCCCTTGATTGCGGTTTCCCATTCGGATTTATGGGCTTGTGGGGTACCATTAAGCGAAATTCGCGAAATGATCCTAGAAAAATCATGTTTGGAGTTTAGCCCTTGATATTACCCCTGCGAGGCAATGGCTACCGACCTCGTGTGGGTGCTTGCGCGTGGGCATTATTGCTGTTCCAGAGTATGACTGATGCAAGTGATCCCCGTATGTTGTAATTGCTGACAAGCCGAGAGCCGACAGAGCCAAGCATTGCCAGCAAGGCCCACTTCACGAGCGCCAAACATAGAGACTGGCTGCATATTCAACCCATCGCTTGGTGTGGAGGTTGACACTTAGCGTTGGCTGGGCAGCAGACTCAATTTGCTTGCTTCGACCTTGAACCGACTCAAGCCTCGCTGTCAGAATCGCAGAATCGCCTGCTTTGGCAGGCGCGGTGTGGGTGCAGTCCCTATGCTTGCTCAACACCCTCCAGCTGAAGCTCCATCTCATTACCTGCAACGCAGCTATGAGCTGCTGTCAGAAGGGCCTCTTGGCCTAAGGTGTTGAGTAGCCCGATGTGGGAGATGCAAGGTGGGCTTACTCAGAAAGCAGGGGACATCGCCCAATCCCAGCCTTGAAGCACTTTCATGAGTCACTTGGAGGTCTCCGTCAACCTTGTACCAGAGTTTGTCGCGGACTGCGGCAAGGTCCATAGCTGGCACATGCAACGGGCGGGCTGACTAGATTGTGCTCCGCAAAGTGCAATGTTCCACGCGGGCTAAGCTTGAATCAGTCAAAGGTTGTTGTCTTGAAATCTGGCATCGCCGCTGTCCGGCTCCGGCGCAGCTGACGGACTCGAAGTTCTGAACGTGTCTCTGTCTTTGTCCAGTATGGCAGCCGGCTCTCCCGTGAGCACCAGTGAGCTGACGCTCGACTTGGTGAGCCCGCCAGTCGAAGCGGACGCGCCTCTGGATGAGCGCGACATCGAACTGGTGCAGACAACCTTCGCCAAGGTGGCGGAACTGGGGGCTGGGCCGGCCGGTCGCATCCTTTTCGGGCACATCTTCCGCATTGCGCCAGAGGCCAAGGCTCTCTTCAGCTTTGCCCAAGACGAGGAGACCATGTGGCTGCCCGGCAGTCGACTTGAGAAGCACGGCGCGGGGGTGGTGAAGATGGTGAGCACAGCAGTGAGCCTGTTGCGGGACTTGGAGACATTGGTGCCGGTGCTTCAGCGATTGGGCTTGCAGCACGTCGGGTACAAGGTGCTTCCGCCACACTACGACGTGGTGGGAGCCGCCTTCATTGCCACCCTGGAAGAGGCGTTGCAGACAGAGTTCACTGAGGCGGTGAAGAATGCCTACCTCAAGGTCTGGAAGATTGTCCAGGCCACAATGATGGGCGATAACTATGCCAAGTGAGAGGCATCTTCAGATGCCTTCAAGAGCCTAACCGAGCCCTTTGTCAGCTTTGTGATGCCAGGTCGGCTAGCTCTTGCCTTGTTTCTTGCGGCGTGTGCGATGGTCGGAGATCTCGCATGGGCGCATTGCCAAGTGGCAAGAGCGGATCGCCATCGTTTTGCCCTGATGCTACTCGAGAATTGAGTTATGTGCGGGGGCCTTGTCAGCTTGTCTGAAAGTTTGGTTTTGACTGCTTGGCCAAGAGGCCGAGCCGGTTGACCGCAGCACTACGCCTTTCTGTGCAAAACAGGGCATGCAGGGTGTGCAGGTATTCTTGCTTCATGTGGCAAAGAGTGTCCTTTCACTGGCCACAGTGGGCGGGCTTTGGTTTGCTGTGACCAGCCTGGCTGGTCAAACCAAGCCCTGTCAGTTGCCCAGCTTCCAGCCTTACTTCAGCATGTTTTGTGATGGCATTCTTGAAGCCTTTTGATCCTTTCAGGCTTGTCTTATTTGAACATGGAGCCAATACTGACGAGGCCTCAGTTTGTAAAGGCGCTGAGCTTCACGCGGGCTAAGCTTGAATCAGTTCAAAGGTTGTTGTCTTGAAATCTGGCATCGCCGCTGTCCGGCTCCGGCGCAGCTGACGGACTCGAAGTTCTGAACGTGTCTCTGTCTTTGTCCAGTATGGCAGCCGGCTCTCCCGTGAGCACCAGTGAGCTGACGCTCGACTTGGTGAGCCCGCCAGTCGAAGCGGACGCGCCTCTGGATGAGCGCGACATCGAACTGGTGCAGACAACCTTCGCCAAGGTGGCGGAACTGGGGGCTGGGCCGGCCGGTCGCATCCTTTTCGGGCACATCTTCCGCATTGCGCCAGAGGCCAAGGCTCTCTTCAGCTTTGCCCAAGACGAGGAGACCATGTGGCTGCCCGGCAGTCGACTTGAGAAGCACGGCGCGGGGGTGGTGAAGATGGTGAGCACAGCAGTGAGCCTGTTGCGGGACTTGGAGACCTTGGTGCCGGTGCTTCAGCGATTGGGCTTGCAGCACGTCGGGTACAAGGTGCTTCCGCCACACTACGACGTGGTGGGAGCCGCCTTCATTGCCACCCTGGAAGAGGCGTTGCAGACAGAGTTCACTGAGGCGGTGAAGAATGCCTACCTCAAGGTCTGGAAGATTGTCCAGGCCACAATGATGGGCGATAACTATGCCAAGTGAGAGGCATCTTCAGATGCCTTCAAGAGCCTAACCGAGCCCTTTGTCAGCTTTGTGATGCCAGGTCGGCTAGCTCTTGCCTTGTTTCTTGCGGCGTGTGCGATGGTCGGAGATCTCGCATGGGCGCATTGCCAAGTGGCAAGAGCGGATCGCCATCGTTTTGCCCTGATGCTACTCGAGAATTGAGTTATGTGCGGGGGCCTTGTCAGCTTGTCTGAAAGTTTGGTTTTGACTGCTTGGCCAAGAGGCCGAGCCGGTTGACCGCAGCACTACGCCTTTCTGTGCAAAAC